GTATATTTATGACTTGTAAATAAATTCATTACTACTGGTCCCACGGTGAATGGTAAATGTTGGCAAATATTCTGTGTCATTATGTATTCATCGTCAACTTTACTGAGAAATGAAAATTGTGTAGTTAATTTTTCTCTAAACATGCATTTTCGTTTGGTTCTGCTTTGTTTCTTGAGCTCATTGCTGCAGAGAGGGTTCATTGCAAAATCTTTAACAAGATTAAACAATAATAAACAAACAATAAAGTAAATAATAGTTGTAGGTCTAGTATATGGTAAACCATTTTAGCAGGATTGTTTACATCACTCTATGTAAGACATACCTAACTCCAACTTCACACATACATTTCGCATTCATCAAATTTCTGATTTCCCACTTTCAGTGATTCCACAGGCTGGCAGACTGGCCCCCTAACAGCTTCAAGATCTTGCAGGCCCACACTCTGAACTAAGGCACAACTGCCTCATACACCAGATGGCCACCAGGGGCAGTAGTAATAAGCTCTTGGGACCAGAAACGTTAATTGTCCTAAGCCACCTATATGCAACCACAGTTTATCAGCCAACATCCTGTATGCTATCCTTAAAATGGAGGCATTAGCTTCCTGTGTCAAGAACGGTTTTGAAAAAGTGAGAGGGGTTATTACTGATAGTTCAAATGTAACCACTCTGCTTTTCACACATCTATGTCACGCACTACCAGAGAAGACCATGATAGAATGTGGAAGTACAAAGCGATCTACCAAACCAATCTTGGCTTATTTTAATACAATTATTAATAATAATATTCTGTTAAAAGCAACAACAGCAACAACTCTGGGACACATGTTAAAACAGATAGATGCCGGGACAATCGAAGTAAACCAGGAAGTATATTCACCTTATCTATTGACCACAGGGGTGCTTCATAAAAGGATTTCTGTACGCCACCCCAAATCTTTAAATCAGAACTAGGTATTGCCTAAAAATTTGCATTTTAGGAAACTTTTCCATGATATTCTTAGAGACACTAAAGTTCTATTCCTGGTTTAGGAAATTTCCTTCACCTTTCATTACAAGGTTCGAACACCTGATCATAGAGGGTGGGAAAATCGTCACATCATAATAAATACTGCCATCTCCTTGAGCGAATTTATTTTTTGGCTATATTATTGTCTTTTCGGAAATTTGGAACTGTACCAGCCACTTTCTTTCCTTGAGAATCAGGTTTCCAAACAAGGAATAGAAAATATAATGAACGTTGATTTAACTACTTTGGAAGAAATAAGCACTAAATGGTTTTTTTCAAAGAACTGCTACTGAAATGTAAAACTATACAAATTACATCACTTCATTCATAAAAATTACTATTACAAGAGTCATAAGAATGTGTTTTGAATATCTATAAGGTAATTGATTGCAGAATGATGAGGTTTTTATCTGTTTAAACTGTTTTCTTTATTTGCATTTTTTTGCCCGTAACTTTTGTAAATTTTTAGACATATCTCAGTCTCACTGACTTCAGCTACAAAATGAGCATTTTAGTCTAGTAGATATTCAATGTTTGTTCTAGGTTCCCAAGTTCATTTTTTATATCTTTTTTGAATGTTTGGAATTTCTTATTATGTGCATGTATTATTATTTTGTTAATAAAAAAAGATTATATGAGCATTAAGATAATGACCATTATTTTTTTCTGTTATTTTCCTCTAAACAAGCAAACGTTATTTTAAAAGGAGAGTAAACAAGAACATTGGATACAGAGAGGGAAATAGAAAAGAGAATGTGGTGAATCATGGTATGTGAGACAGTAGGTATTTTTAAAGATTTTCCAAGGCATAGGGAATCACCTAGTGGTGAGAATGGAAAAGGCTTTTCAAAAGTTTATGATTTTTTTTGTGTGCTTTAGACACTAAGTTGTGTCCATATGGTTTGTAATCAATTTACTTAATGCATGCCAAGATGTTGAATGTTTGTTTTTTGTAGTCAACTCTATTTACATCATATAATATGTAATATTATCCCTCAAGCCTTTCTTTTCTAGAGAGATCAAAAATCCCTTAATATCAAGCCTTGAAATTCCTGTACCAAAGAATATGTTAAATTCATGGTTCTGGGGTCAAAAGAAGCCCAGATACGCACAAAACAAGCACAAAAGCATGACCCTTATCTTCCAGAAACCCCTGGTCTAAAACCACCAGCACAAGACAGATCCATTATGATTACACTTCTAATTTCACAGATGAGGTAGCTGATGTTCTATCTACATAATGGAGGCTTTTGAAACATTCAGGAAACCAAGATGGATTTTTTACTTGCTGAAAATAATAAATCATATGTGTGTGACACTTTCCGTTCCCAAAGCAAAGACAAAGACTTGGATGGAAGTTTATTTGGGTGATGATTCCAGGAAGTAAAGTGGGGAGCAGGGGGGATGAGACAGGAAGGGAGGAAAAGGTAACAGAAGGGTGCTATTTCATAATCGTTGCAATAGTTGTCAGGTGTGTGATTCTTCCAGGATCTTTCAGAATCACCCATGTGAAAGATGCAACACTAAGGTGTTTATTTATCCACTAGTTCCTGACCCCATTCATTGAGGAATGCCCCTGGAAGCTATAACTGCCCCCACATTTCCTGGCTGTTCTCATGTACTGGCTTAGTAGACTCCCTCAGCTTCAGAGAAAGCTGGGGAGCAGAGAACCTACAGTGATCCATGGCTTGCACTTGAGCTAGAAAGAGTCTGAGCCCACACAGAACTGTCTACCTACCACAGCTGTGGCTGTAATCAAGGTAGGCTGAGGGAATGTCATAAAAATACTCGCAATTGACCACATCTTCCTCTGCTCACATCCTCTTGTCCTTGTATTAATTTCACTCTGTCATTGTACTTTCAGTGTGGTGGTCACAATCTCTAAAAAAGACATTGTTCAAGAGAATTGGTGGACTAAGCTATGGTCCCTCCTATTACAACTGGTCCTGAGGCCAGGACTCATAGTCATCAACTTTCTGCTCCATCATTCGTTCTAGATTTCCCCATCCTTAGCCAGCATCAGCTGGTCTAATTTAGTTGCCTGGTGCTGGAACCAAAGAGCCCCAAATTATAGGCAGAAAGTAGAGGTGGTGGATGAATAGTCCAGAGAGAGTAGACTGGCTCAGTGAGGAAGTGGATTTAAAAAGAGAAGGGCAGGGAGCTGAAAATGGACTCTCAAAAAACATGTACATTTCATTGGATGGGATTCATCGCCTTCTGCCCCTAAAACAAAACAAAAGACAAAACTGGGGAAAATAGAGGCAGGGAAAAGGAGCCATAAAATTAAAGTCACAGAAATATCACAGAAGTAGCTAGAATAATCTCCATCACATGATTTCCTTGTTCAAGAAGTGAACTTATTTCTTTAATGTTTCTTACAGAAGAATGTAGCACAAACTCGGCTATACAGTGGCCACTCAATAGACATCCGCTAAATGAATGAATGAATGAATGAGTGAGTTAATAGTAAATGTAAAGTTCTCATTCAAACCTTGAAAATCCTCGATTACATGTCTTTCTAGTTCTGTTTTCCTTAGGCAGCTAATAAATAGTTGAATAATTACCCTGGGAAGCAATGGAACTGTAATTGGTGTTGGAGTCAGAATTCAGTTCAAATCCCAGAATGATCAGATACTGCACTGATTGTGGCAGTGTCCAATAAAAGTTCTTCTCGCCTACTTGCTCCTTCCCCTTTCTTTGAAGATTCAAAGATAGCGGAGAAGAAGGCCTTTCTCCAGATGGTAGTTTTACCTCCCAAGATGGTCTTATTTTAAAATTACTATGTGCAAAGTATAGGGAGTTACTAGAGATGCAAGGATCAATTAAAACAGATTTTACTCTACAGGAATTTTTGAGTCTAATGGGGGAGCCAGGCATAGATATAAATATAATGTATAAGCATTCTATTTCTAGGAAATAATTATTTCTAAGAGGTGGGTGAGAATAGGGAGATTTTATGAAGAAAGTGGCATTTGAATTGGGTCCTGAAGGAGCAATATTTCATTGAAAGGTAGGGGGCAGTCTAGGCTGTGGTAACCATCTAATGAAAGGTGGAGGTTTACAGAAAGTTTGGAATCCAGAGAGAATAGCATCAGGGATATATTAATTTAACAAGTTATTGTTTTGCTCCTGCCCTTAAAAGCTTTTTTTTTTTTAAGGCTAACAGAGAAATAAAACAAGTGCATAAATACACACAAAACAGTGGGCTTCAGAAAAACGAGAGTATATCCAGTTTTGGCTACAATGTCCTTCCGTGGAATCCCAGGTACCATGTGTTCTCAATCACTCTTTAGAAAATGATCAACAGAGGTTCTGCATGCTCTAAATTTAATCTCAAATTACATAGCTTCCATGTGCTTCAGTTAATCTTTAAATAAAATGAGAAGACTTATCTGAAAGAACGGTAAAGAATGACACTGGATGAAAAATGCATGGCAAACATAGCACCTAGTATCTCCGCCTTAAATTATATATTTGATAAATAAGTAGAAATATATGTGCAGTAGTAAGAGTTTTCGCCAGAGAGCACTCTCCCGCTGGCTGTCTGTGATAGACCACACCCTCCTAACCAGCCGTCCCATTCCGCTTTTTGCAGAAACAGAGGTTCAAAACTGCCTCCAGCCTCAGCAAAAGCACGTGGTCTCCGCCTCCTCCCAACAACAAAAAAGTCTTGTGTCTCCGCGGCCTGCACCGCAAGTGGCGAGAGCTTGATTTTTAAATCCATCCGAAAGGACCAATCAAAAGCAGCAGTCCGAGTGCGCAGAAGCGGATTGGCCCACCGCTGCTTGAAGTGACCAATAGGCTTGGAGGCGAGTTTGGTCGGAACCGGAAGCGGGCGAATCATAAACGGGTGGCGGCCGCGGTCAGTTTGAATTGGAACCTGGGGTCCAAGTCGCGGAGGTTGCGCCGGAACCCGATTCTGAGGGTTTTTTTTCCTTCCCGGCTGGCAAGGTGAGCATCCTGCTTGGGTCCCGGTTCCGGCGGTGGGCGTGAGGGAGCCGCTGGCTTTCTACCGGAGGATACTGGGTGGGGATGCCGGAGGGTTTGCGCTCCCGGGTCTTGAAGGAGTCGTGAACCGCCCCCTCCCACCTGACCCGAGTGGAGAATCTGGTCCCGGGAAAGCTGGCCTCGCACTAGTTAGTGTCCGGAGACGCTGCTCGGTCATGAACACGCATTTTCGGGCCTCAGTTTCCAACTCTGTAAGGTAAAATACAGGTATTATCCTAGCAGCCTTCTACGTCCGGGTACGAGTGGCTCCTATTAGAGATGTGGACATCGATCCTTTGCTGCTGCATGGAGGAGCAGCAAGCTTGGGTTTAGATCTGGGCGGCTGTTGTATCTATTAGTCGCGAGAGCATTTCTCCTTCGTCTTGCACCTTCGTTCGTACGCGCCGTGCGCCTCGCTTTGCTATGTTATGAGGACCCAGAAATAAATGACCTGAGTCCTATCCTTGAGCCCGATCTAGAGGAGCAGGCAGAGTTTTCATTCTCAGGCTCAAGCCGGGACACTAGTCGGGGACTCGGGTTTCTTGGTGAGATGGGAGATTCTGATAAAGGGAAAGCTTGAAAACGGGCTTACGGTGCTGGGTTGAGAGAGTCACACAAAAGCTTCCTCGGGCGCTTTACAGGGTTGGGTGATTGGGCATGAAGAGTATCTTGCACATATTTGAGAGAGAGCATTTTCTGGAAAGGGCGATAAACAGTCCAGCGAATCCTCCTTGACTTCCGGAGCTTTCTTCACCATCTCTCCTCCCGCCTCTCCCGCTATGTTTTGCCCCTTTTATCTTACTGCTGAGGCTTGGTGTTTTTTTTTTTGTTTGTTTTTGTTTTTGTCCTTTTGCCCCAGTGGCTCCATACAGATTATTGTTGGTTGATGTCTTAAAGTCTGCTCTATCTTTCTAAATTGCTCCTTTTTATATTTGGCCGGCTATGGCATCTTGATGTAATGATTTCGGTGATCTGCAGGATTGTTGAGGTTATAGTTGTGTGCCTCTGGGGAACCCCCTCCTACCCTGGTTGAGCAAACTAGTTTGGGATGGATGGAACAGCCTATTGGGACAGTGTAAATTGTCCTTTGTTGGTGGCGAAGCTTGAGGTGCCCTTCGCAATAGTTTGTGGCCAAATTGGAGTGGAGTTTAAGATGCTGCATTCAAAGAACTGACACCTGGAAACAAAAAAAAAACTGGCAGAAAAGAAACAGCTTTCTAAGGCTTGATATCTAAATTGTTTTCCAAGACCTTTTCTTCTCTTAATTTTTGAAATTCTTAATACTTTTTACTATTTTAGTTCTGATAAAAAATTTCATTGTAAAGTCGATTGAAGCAAAACACTAAAATGGTTGTAGATTTCATTTAGTAAGAAATGAATTCTTACCCTGTTGCCGAAATAACTGGAAAATAAATGCTTTTTCTTTCACTTAAATACTAAAGGCTAATGATTAAAGAACAATTGCTCTGCTTTTTCTCCCAGCTGATTTAAATTTCCTAAGATGTGGCAGAGACGGAGAAAGGCCACTTTCCTCATGATATCATAGGCCGAAATATAGAAATGAAAGTGTTTTTAAGGACTAACGTAATAATAGCTAACATCTATAGAAAGCTTATCACAACATATTGTTCTAAAGCTTTAGGAAGTTGCCACCATTATTATCCCCATTTTGCAAATGAGGAAGCCAAGGCACAAAGCAGTTGAACAACATGCCCAAGGTCACACATCTTATAGGTGGCTGAGCTGGGATTTGGGATTCGAGGCTATATACCAGATTCCTGGTCAAGGTCTGTCTGGAGCATGACTTTGCCACATTTTATGATTCTAGTACTAATATGGCATTCACTCTTTGTTCATTCATGCATTAATTCAACAAATGAGAACTACCCGGAAGACGAGGGGATACTTGTGCCATGAGAGACTATGGCTGGGTTATGGATCTTCCCAGGGAACATTTTCCAGAGGCAGAGGGACCAAAAGCCAGTGGGAATTAATGAGAAGAGAGGAAAGAAGAGCATTTGCAAGATAATTTGCCATACATTTATTTGTTTATAGGGCCTATTTCACCGGAAACCTTATAGTAAAATATTTGTTTTATATAATGAAAACAAACTGAGCAGTAGAAAGCAGGTAGTCATATAAGAAGTCAAAAATGAGAAATAAAAACAGAAAGCAAGGAGATGCCAAACAAGCATATTACATACTTCACAATCTCCTCCATCTACCTTTCAGAGGATGGAGAAGATAGATGTTATACTTTGTTATCCTTTGAAATATAAAGTTTTCAAACTTAATTCTTAGAGGGTTCTATAGATTCCTTAGTCTGTGAGGCTTTAAGTTTTTTGGTGGTTTTTTTTTTTTTTTTTTTTACTATAGTAAGACCAACATCTGGTTATTCTTTTCAGTTTGTTTACAAATGTTTGAATAATAAAAAAAAAAAGGAGAGCAAAATGAGCTGGGCTTTGGAAGAATGGAAAGAAGGCCTGCCAACAAGAGCTCTTCAGAAGATTCAAGAGCTGGAAGGACAGCTGGACAAACTGAAGAAAGAAAGGCAGCAAAGGCAGTTTCAGCTTGACACTCTGGAGGCTGCATTGCAGAAGCAAAAACAGAAGGTACCATTGAAATGCGGGTATTTAAAACTGCTCATTGTTTGGATTAGTTATTTCATATTGGCCTTTTAAATTTAGAGAAAAATGATTTTGCTATCTTCAGGTGGTAATGACCCAACCTCCTTTTTTTGAGTCATTTTAATTATCTCATTTTCTCCATTCCCTGTCCTCATTTCTGCTTAACCTGCTAACATTTGTGGCTGCTGGGTTCCATTTTAACTTCTGATAGGGACCATGAATTGAGAGTTGCTTTTGGATTCCACACCGTCAAGGACTGTGATTCAGAATCTGGGGGACAGTATTAGAGCACTTTGCAGTACAAATGGCTATCGCTTTTTGAAAGTGGACTTTTCACCTTGATATTTATTCCCAGACCTCATCTCTTTGGGACTCATAAATGGAAACTTAAAACAAATACTTCTTACTTCTACATTAACCAACAAAGTAGTTTTTGCCTGTAGGAGAATTTTCTGGTTTCCTACAATAACTGGCTTTAGCAGTCAAACTTGAGAATGAATTGCTAAGGGAGATTTATAGGGCTTATTTTTGTTTTATTAATACTTGAAAGCATATTAAAGCCTCTTTTTCTAGGATGAGCACGTGTAACCGTGACCAAAGATAGCAAAATACATAACTTTTGTAGAACTTAATCTCTCTATTGGCTTTGAAGTGGAGTCATCTTAAATATATGCATTCCTCAAGGATTGATATTTGCTTTATTCCAGCCATACCTCAGAAAATTAGTTGTCAGTGTTCAATTCATTTTTATAAATAATACTTGGTAAATTTATGGATAAGACGCTCTTTCCTTTTGAACTCCCCCCTTTAGGTTGAGAATGAGAAAACTGAGGGTACAAACCTGAAACGAGAGAACCAAAGCTTGATGGAAATATGTGAAAATCTAGAGAAGGCTAAGCAGAAGATTTCTCATGAACTTCAAGTTAAGGAGTCACAAGTGAATTTCCAAGAAGGACAACTGAATTCAAGCAAAAAACAAATAGAAAAACTGGAACAGGAACTTAAAAGGTAATTAAGTTTTGAATGATATTTATATAGATGTCTTTGTATGTATTCATTTATCTTTTCCCTTAATGATGTAATTATACGTTGTGAAATATATATTTCCAGTGGAATAAATAATCTGAGAAAAATTCCTTTTTTGTATTGTTGCATGGCTCAGTCCTATATAAATTGATTAAATGGTTGCTCACTTATTTATTCATTCAGTATATGTTTATTCATCTGCTTCATGTGCCAGGCACTGTATTGCAGGGTGACACAATAATAAATAATATCAAAACTATCAATAGTAGTTACTGGAAAGATGGAGGGAAGTTAAAGCATGGCTTATACAGACAGCATATGTTTTCTCTGAGTGGAAAAGCTATTGTAGAGAATGAGAGAGAGAAGTAGGGAATTATAAAAGGGCTGGAGCACCGAGGGCTCAGCTGAGGTTGGAGATCAGGAATTTATAGAGGAACCAATCTACAGTTGTCTGATATTTTTTTTTTTTCCTTTAGCATTTGGGATGTAAATGCTGAGAAGGTGAACAGGAGAGTTGATTTAAGGTTGTCTTTGGCCACAGTAATGGGATAGAAGACAACAGAATGATGGAGGATATCGAGAAGAGTGGTGGGAGTCCTGTGCCCACCTGTGCTGGCAAGAGAGAAGTCAAGGGCAGTCCTGCTGAGATGTCCATCTGAGAGGGATCTTAATCATTACATAGTCAGTTTGCCAGTTTCAGTACCATATGTGAGCAATAAAAAGGGTGTTTATTACTACTGCTTTTCCGTAAAAAAAAAAAAAACCAAACAACTAGAGGCATTATCAAAATAGATTTAGTGGGACCTAAACATTACTAGATTATGGATGATATCTTCTTGTTTTAATATTAGAATTTCGTCAAAAGAACAAGGAGCCATAAATGCTAAAGACAAAAAAAACTTTAGCAAATGTTCCATTGTTGAGTTTACAAATGCACACCTAGAAATTAAAAAAAAAAATTAAATAACTAGATTTATTCAGAAACAGTTGTTAACATCTTGTAAAACCAAAGTACAATGACCAAACCGGAAATAAGCATTGATGTAATACTATTAACTACAGACTTTTAGAATTTCACTGGCTTTTCCAGTAGCTGGGTTTTTTTTTGGTTCCAGGAATTGATCCAGGATTCTACATTGCATTTAACTGAATCTTTCTTAGTCTCAGAAATCTTTTTCTGATTTTATTTTCTGTCCTCATAGGAAGGTGGCTAGCTATAAGTTGCATGTTAGAAGGATAAATTTCTACCTCCTTGAGTTTTTTGTTGTCTGCCGTCTCAGACTCCGAGAGAATAGGAATCTTGTCTGTCTTGTTCATCGCTGTATCCTTAGCACCTGGCAGTTGTAGGTCCTCAGATATTTGATGAATGAATGAAAGATAGGCATTCGTTTTGGAAAATAGGTGCTAGAGAAGTAGGAAGGAAGCTCACCTCAGTATGCTGGAATAATTATTTCTTCGAAAAGCACATTTCGGCTGCAAGTTTTAGAAATACTGGTTTTATTAAGTTAGACAGAAACATTTGTATTTTTAACATTTTAGGAAAAGATGCTTTTGTATAAATTTCTATATTTCATTGCAAAGTGCCAGTTGGTAGCAATACTTGCAGATAGATACACAGTGCTCTGGGGTTGTAAATGACATGCAGCAACTGTTAAATGTTAGCATTATCAGGATCATTTTTACCAGTTGTCACCATCATCATGGGTTAGCATACCCCCATAGCACATTTAATTTAAAAATATTCTTATTTATGATATTGTTATAGGTGTTGATAAAAGTTCATAAACTTATATAAACTTTAGACTTTAACAACTATTAAGAGTAGTTTTCAATAGTATAAAATTAAGAGGATAAAAACTATAGACTACAAAAACTATTGAGTATAGCTTTGAAAATTCTCACTGGTAACTTTCAAGTGCAGGGCAGGAACTTATTTTCTCATCAGCAGCCACTGGTTAGGTTTCAGGAACAAGTTAGGTTGAAGGAATTGAAATGCTGGTCAAAAACTATTGGATATAGGCAGTCTTGTGTACTTAAACCTAGCAGAAAACAGCTTAATTTTTTTTTTTTTTTTTTTTTGGTGGTGGTGGCGGCTTGTGTTTTTCTCCCTAGGAGAATAGAAAAACAAATGTTTATAAAAATAATAGGGTATACTTTAATATAGAAAATGAACTTTTATTATTTTTTTAAATGAAAGGATGGGGAAAAGGGGCGAGATGTGAATTTAAGAGGGAAAAGAGACCTCAGTTTTGCAAGGTTCATCTCTAGGATGACAAACCTTGTTACATGTCTGGCAGTGTAGGGACCCGCACTGTCCAGTATGGTAGACGCTGGCTACACGTGGCTGTTGAGCACTTAAATCGTGGCTTGTGCAAAATGAGATGTGCTGTAAGTGTACAATGCACACCAAATTCTGAAGATTGAGTAAAAAAGTAAAATGTCTTAATATTTTATTGATTATAAGTTGAAATGATAGTATTTTGAAAATAATGAGTTAAATAAAATGTTAAGATGAAATTCACTGATTTCTTGTTGCTTTTTTTCGCGTGAACAGAACGTTTCTATTGGACAGTGCTGTTCCCTAGTGTGAGTTCGAATGTGATGTTTTGATTTGCCGAGTAGTCCATTTCAGCTCATCCATTTCGTCTTTCTTCCCAGATTGAATTTGGGGCTGGGAGCAGCTGGGGCGCTCAGACGCTTTCTTCACTGCTTCTTTCGGGGAGGTGAACATCATTGGCCATTCTGATAGGGTGTTCATTTCTCGTGTCAATCTAAAATCGGACTCATTAGAGACTTGTAAGAATTGAATCCTCGTTTAACTTTGGTTGTTTGATTCTGACAGGTCTCCAGAATTTAAATGGTAGGGATATTCTGTACATGTATACAACATGTCGCTTACTTTCCCCATGTCTCTGTAACCGTTTCCAGCTATATCTTTTCTAGGTTTATTGTGTTAACTTGATGTTCATATCTGTGTTTTTAAAATGTCAAAATACATGGTATGTATATCATGTCTGCTTTTATGACTTTTGACATCCAGTTTTGTGATTTGAGCCCGTGCTTCAGGAATACCAGTTTTTTCCCTAAGTTTCTCAAGTTCTGGGTTCTTTAATATCCCTGTGTCTTTCTTTGGCTTAGAATACAAAATTTGCTTGGAGTGAATCCCCAGCCTCCCATCTCTTTGTACGATAGTGGGTATTGCAGATATCCATTATAACCTTTATAACAATTGTAATTATTGGTTTATATCTGTTTCCCTAACTAGAATGAGGTCCTTTGAAGATGGGGGGCTGAGTTTATGTCTGACACATAAGTTAGTTCTTTTTAAAAAGGTCTGTTGGGTAAATGAAATGGTAAGAATTCTTGGTCGGTTTTTTTGTAAGCTTATTACTCTCTAGGAACGTATGGTGTTGGTATTCTGTAGCTTTTGTTCTGATTTGGCATCATCCTCCCGGGTCTTTTTCTGACAGGTGTAAATCTGAACTTGAAAGAAGTCAACAAGCTGCACAGTCTGCAGATGTCTCTCTGAATCCATGCAATACACCACAAAAAATATTTACAACTCCACTAACGCCAAGTCAGCATTATAGCGGTAAGGATTTTCCCCTTTATGTGAATAGCCCTTTTATTGAAATTTTAATTTTGCCAAAGGAATTAATTCAGCTTTGAATGCAACATCTAATTTGGGCATTTAAGAAAGTGCATTTACTTGTTCTATACATTTGCATATCTGTCGAACTATGTTGAACCATCAGGTTAAGCCTTTAAACTTCTCACTTTATCCTTCTATGATATGATATGTTTCAAAAATAAATCAATTTCAGAATATTCAAAACACCTATGTTTCCATGTGTTTTGATATTTGAGTAATTTGGTCAACATCTGTTGCCTTAACTAAAATATTCTCTCCCGGTATACCAAGATACATATTTCTAGACTATCTATTGTCATGATTATTACTTTATGAACTCTGTCATTATATCAATGATTGACATAAAACTACATCTCCTTGTCTGTGTTTAGGTTCCAAATACGAAGATCTAAAAGAAAAATATAATAAGGAAGTTGAAGAACGAAAAAGATTAGAGACAGAGGTGAAAGCCTTGCAGGCCAAAGTAAGTTAATTGTGGGCCTTCTAACAGCATGCAGGTGGAGACGTACTGTGAGATAAGATAGAACAGAGTCAGAAAAACCTGCCTTACTTGCAGTTGGCACATCGGTGACGATATTTAATTTAAAAATAGGTAAAGAGTGAGTAAATAGAGTGGGGAGTTTATCCCTGAATGTTAAACGTCCACTGAATTCCATGAAAACCGTAGCAACATAATTATTTCCCTGTTGAGATATAATGATAAGAAACATATTTGGAGAGGGTAGAACCAGTCATTCCTGACACTCCAGCTTTGGAGGAAATTGTTTTATATTTCGTTCTTCTGACGGACTGCGGTCCTTGTTACCGAGAACGTGGGGTTCGAGGATCTTTTTATGAAGTGTTTATTTCAGAGGAGAATGTCATCAATGTAATCTCTCCAGTTCTTTTAAATAAGTTGCTGACAACAGTTTTAAAACTCCGTTTTGACATGGGTAAATAAGCAGAGAGAGAGGTAGGTAATTTGAGGTCAACAAAATAAGTAAAATACATGTTTTGGAAACCCCTGCTTCTAGTTTAGGAACTGAAAATACCTGTTATCTACAGAATTGTCCTTTACCATTTTTGGTGTATTTCTACTAAACATAAGAACTTGGAGAGATGGCAAAATTTAGCAAATAGTTTAAAGCTGAATTTATAAGTAGATACCTTTAATATTGAGGATCAAAAGTACCTATTCGAGATTTAACGATTTAAATTCTTTTTGTGCCTTTAATCCTTGTTTTGTGGTCGCCAAGATTTTGATATAGCAAAGGCATATTGCTTATCAAGGTGAATAAAAATTAATAATTCCCTGGTTTGTCCTAGAAACATGTGCTTCATTATCCAGGTCAGTCACTGGTACCAGTCCTGCCTGGCTTTGGTTTCTAGAGTTTGTGGAGAATGTGAGTCTCCATAAACATTAAACCTCCCTGTGGCAAGAAACATACTTACTAAAAAAAAAAATACAATGCAGCATCTATAACCATGTCTTTGTCAGAATGGAGGCAGAAAGAACAACAAAAGGATTCAAAGCAGTAGAAAATCCGCAAATGTATGTTACATAACATAAAAATACCTTATATGACATTTTTGGGGGGAGTGGTATGGTTCAAAGTGAGATTCTTGAAAGAGCTTTTTAGGTTAATATTTAATTTTGATTCTCTTTGTGCAAAGTTGCAGGGAGAGGTGACCAAAGATGGGTAAAGGAAAATCAAATTCCAGAATTCAAAATGAGAGCGAATACTCCATGTGTGTTTAATACTCCATGTATATTTGAGGGATGCAGAATAAATACTGAGCCCATTTGAAACAGATTGAGCCCCAGTGATAATGGCTTAAGCCTTTAATGCTGAGGTCCAACCATTAGAAAATCTCACTAGATATTGGGGCTTCACGGTTCCCTCAACTTGATGGGAGTAGAACTTGGTACGGAGTAGAAGTGTTAATTTCGTGGCATGGCTTTATGTTCTATTTGAAAATAAGTAGTTTCGAATATTGTGACTTCTAAAAGGCTTTAAAGAGTTTCTGTCTTTGCAGAGAGCAAGCCAGGCTATTCCCCAAAACACCATGAATCACCGAGACATTGCCCGACACCAGGCCTCATCGTCTGTGTTCTCATGGCAACAGGAAAAGACCCCAAGTCGTCTTTCATCTAGTGCTCTGCAAACTCCAATCAGGAGAGATTTCTCTGCATCTCACTTTTCTGGGGAACAAGATGTGACTCCAAGTAGATCAACTTTGAAAGTAGGGAAGAGAGATGCTAATAGCAGTTTCTGTGATAATTCGAGCAATTCTCATCTTTTGGATCAATTAAAAGCCCAGAATCAAGGTGATTTCTTGAGCTAAATTAAGTTTAGATTTTCTTGTGATAATTTCGGAGGTAATTCCTGACATTTTCAGTCCTAGAAAATGCTTATGTGTTTTGTTAGACATCAGCGGTCAGCATTCCAGTCTGGTGATGTGTAATTCTGTCTTTTCGGCGAGAAAAGATATCACAGTTTTGGAATGTACCTTTACTTGTACTAAAAAGCTGGTGCCCTGCAGCCTTCAAAAGGAGGATGAGTGCTGTCAGCATTACAGGTTTATGTAATCATTTAATTTGCCAATGTGCTCGTTTTCCCTTGCAAAGTAATTTTGTTGTATTACCGGAGTCCCTTTTCAGAGTCCTGAGAAAATGCATAAAATCAAATGCATAAAAATCAAAGACAGATTTTCTTTTGGAAAAGTATCTCCAAATTTACCAGCATAAATAGGCAGAGCCAGGAGCATTTCTGTAAAGGTTTGGGAAAACGAAACCTAATTAAAATGACTAAACTTAGACAAATAGAAATCCCTTAGTCAAGAGTTTTAAAATATATTTTGAAGATTTTAATAGGACAGAGCATTTGATTATACCAAAGAAAATAACAATAATTAGATTTGAAAGAGAATTTTTCACAGTGGCTGGTACATGGATATAATATGTATATATGCTGGATATATACATATTACATATATATGAAATATATATATAGAGAGAGAGAGATAAAATTTCATCCTTTCAAGTAAAGGCTTTTTATTTTATCCCACTGTTTTCATTTCCTTGGTCAAGAACTAGGGGAAAGTAGCAATTTGGATTTACCAGTATTTCTGTTGGATTCTAACAACACATAAGCTGTTTTATAACATCAACAACAACAACAACAAAAGTAGAATGAGTGGCTTTGACTTGTCTTTCCAGAAGCAGGATAAGTTGGTTACAGCTGACAACCCCCGATGCTTTTCATCTGGCTCCTTTTGTGCTCCGTGGAACAGGCCTGTGTTCTGGCTGGTCTGGGCCAGAGGTGTGGCATATGTGTCTGCAGAACAACTTTGCTCTGCGTTGCCAGGCTGTCCATATGGGAGCAAACCTGTAACCTTGGCTGCCGTACCATACTGCAGCTGACAGCCAAGGGTACCAGGTGGTGCTTTGGAATCTGCTCTGCAAACTATGATAATTTCCAGTGTTATGATATATTGAAAATCACCGTCAGTGTTCGCTGGTGAGAGCTGTCACACTGCCAATGCCGTTGGAACCAATATTGTGTGTATGTGGGGAAAAAAAAATTATTGTTAATTTTGGCAGTATAGGAGATTCACACTGTCTTGATCGTTACTAGAGGTAAAGCTACCCAAGAATATGAGAGGGCAAATTTTTCACTGTTTATCATTTATTTGCAATGATATGGGCACAAAACAAATATTAGTCTGCTGCTGTATAAAACCAAGTGGTAATTTAAATAGGAGTGTTATATGTGATGTACTTTTTGCAGCCTCAGTTAGATAATAGTCATGATTTTTAGAAACTTATTTTTCCCTGAGTTTCTCTGTGATAAGTTTGTTTCTCCTGCTTTCTATAGGGTATTTGAATAGAAATAACAATAGAGACTAACCATTGACATTAAGTTCAATTAAAGGAGCTTCTGTGTGTAATGTAAATGGTATATTCTGAATTTAGTTGTAATTTTTTTGTGAAAAATACACTGAAATGTGGGTTTTGTTTGTGATTTAAGACCTAAGGAGCAAGATTAGTGAGTTGGAACTGCGTCTGCAAACACAAGAAAAAGAAATGAAAAGCCAAGTGAATAAATGTCAAGAATTACAGCTCCATCTAGAGAAAGCGAAAGTGGAATTAAATGAAAAAGAGAAAGTTTTGCATAAAAGTAGAGATGAACTAGTGAGGATGACAGCGCAGTATGACCAGGCATCAACCAAGGTACTTTTCGTGAGTTGTTGAAAAATTTCTTCTTCTTTTTTTTTTTTCTATGCAATTCTTTGGAAAGTACTTTACACTTAAATTTATGAAGGAAATGTTTGTAATGAACCTTATTAATACATCAGGCAGTACTGATGCTGTCAAACTGGTAAGTTCTTTTAGAGTTGGGTAGGTCAGGGGTCAGTTCTAGACTGCATGTTTTCCCAGCCCAGTGACAAGTTCACTCTCTTCCATCTCAGAGGGTGGGAAAATGTGCTCCGGCCATTTAGTCCTAAGGCTCCAATTAAGGCCAAGCTTCTCAGCCGTCTGTGTGTGTGTGTGTGTGTGTGTGTGATGTTGTTGCTTTTACTCCAACTTGCCTCTTTTTTCTATTATTCATTCATTGACTCATTTTTGACAAATATTGATTCACTGCCTACTACACACATATCAGGCACTATTCTAGACCTGTGGCTGGAGCAGTGAGGAAACGGGCTTCATCCCCATAGAGCTATAACAGATAAAGAAGTCACGTAGATAGAATGGTATATGGAGACAAGTGTAGCGGAGAAGGAATTCTCTTCTAGGCTCACCCGTGCTCATTTGCTGTTTCCTGAACATAACCCACATCTGGGCCCAGTGTTTTGCCCCCATCTGCCTTTCTGCTTGGCACACCCTCCTCCTGGCATACTGTCGAAGTGTTCCTCATTCCATGAGGTTCATCCCTCACCTAATGCAGTGAGATCTTTTCTCCTGGCATCTCCTTAAGACCTTTTCATTGTTATTATGTTATTATGTGTGAGAGCCCTGTAGTTCCCACACTTGGCTAACTCGGCATCACTGAGAACTTTGCAAACTGAATCCTGTTGGAACTAAGAAATTAACCTTTAATAAGCCCTAAATATTTCTAAGGCAGTAGGTAAAAAAAAACACTGTATCTCCTATTAGCTACCTGGAGGCAGACTTTTTCTTCTTTTAAACCTTACTCTTTGTAAGATAATTGTAGAATTATATATAGTTGTATAAAATAATACCTTGTTAATATGGCGAATTACATTGCTTTAAATATTTGAATGAGCTTTGCATCCTTGGAAAAAATCTGATATGGCCATGGTGTATAATTCTTTTTGTATATTTCTGAATTTTATTTGCTAATAATAATTCGTTAAGGATTTGTGTGTCTATATCATGAGGATTATTGGTCAGCTATTTTCTCTTTTTGTAAACTGTCTTTGGTATTTGTATCAGAGGTAATATTAACTTCATAAATGAATTGAAAGTGTTCCTGCCTGTTCAATTTTTGAAGAGATTGTGTAGAATTGGTGTTATTTCTTCTTTCATTTGGTGGAATTCTCCATGAAGCTATCTGGGCCTGGCGGTTCCTTTTTTGGAAGTTTTAAAATTGCTAATTCAACTCTTAAAATAGTTATATGGCTATTAAAATTATTTCATACAGGATGAGGGGGGATAGTTTGTGTTTTTAGAGGGAATGGTTCATTGCATTTAAATTGTCTATGTACAGTTGTTTGTAGTATTTCATTATTCTTTTGAAATCTGTAGGTCAGGTGATATCTCTTGTTTGTTTATGATATTTGTCTTTTTTTCTTTGTCAGTCTTACTAGAGGTTTGTCAGTTTTGTTGATCTTTTACTGATCTTTCGTTCATTGATTTTTTTTTTTAAATTATTTTTCCGTTTTCAGTTTTATTGATTTTTTGCTTTTATTTCCTTCTGCTTGCTTTGGGTTTATTTTGCTCTTTTTCTAGGTTGTTGAGGTGGTAAGCTTAGATTATCGATTAGAGTGTTTTCTCATATAGTCATTAATGCTATAAGTTTTCATCTCATTACTGCTTTAACTGTTATACGCGTTTTGATATATTGTATTTTAATTTTTATACAGTTCAATGTATTTAAAAATTTTTTTCTTGAGACTTCCTCTTTTTAACCTATGGATTATTTAGAAATGTCTTGTTTATTATAAGTGTTTTCCTCTTTCTGTTAATAGTTTTTTAGTTTGACTCCATTGTGTTTGGAGAACATACTCTATGATTTCAATTTTTTTTTTTTAAATTTGCTGAGGTTTTTTTTTTATAGCCTAGGATATGGTCTATCTTGAAATAAGTTTCATGGGCACGTGAAAAATAAATGTATTGGTCGGAGTGTTCTAAAACTGTCATTAGTTCCTATTGGTTGATGGTGTTGAATTCTTCTATATCCTTCCTGATTTCCTGTCTAGTAGTTTTGATGATTGAGAGAGGGATGTTGAAAGTCTCTCAAAATTGTCTATTTCTTCTTTCAGTTCTGTCAGTTTTGCTTCATATATTTCATAGCTCTGTTTTTTGGTTCATGCATATTTAGGTTTTCTATGTCTTTGTAGATTTACCCTTATTATATGATATGGCTGTGTCCCTGGTAATTTTCTTTACTCTGAGGTCTACTTTATCTGATAGTAATAGAGCCACTCAAGCTTTCTTTTGATTAATGTTTGTATGATGTATTTCTTTTCGTCTTTTTACTTTCAGGCTATCTTATATTTAAATGAGTTTCATGTGGACAGCAGATAATTGGATACATTTTTAAATTCACTCTTCCACTACCATCTTAACTAGCCTATTTAGATCATTTACATTTAATGTAATCATTAATAGGTCAGGGCTTAAGTTTGCCATTTTAATTTTTGTTTTCTATTTCTGTTTTTTATTTGTTTTCTTTTTTCCTGACTTCCTGTGGGTTGCTTGAACATTTTATATAATTCTATTTTGATTTATAGTGCTTTTGAGTATATCTTTGTAGAACTTTTATAGTGATCTAGGTCTTACATTATACACACACACACACACACACACACACACACACACACAGAATTTATGGCAGTCTGTTGGTGTCATTTTACCAGCTGTAAGGAATTATAGAAAATTTACTTCTTTTCATCCTTTTATCTTCCTTTATTTATAATATAATTTTAAGTTTTCCTTACACACAGTTAGAACCACATCAGACAGTGTTAGAATTTTTGCATCAACCATCAAAACATAGTTAAGAAAACTGAAGAAGAGAAGGAAACACCAGTGTTGTTGCTTATCTTCCTCTTCCTTCCTGATTCTTTCAGGTTTCCTTCTTTCATCTTTTCCTTTTTGTTTCGAGAAAGGAAGTTTCTTTTAACTATTCCTTTAGAATTGGTCGACTGGCCACTAGTTCTCCTTAGTTTTTCTTTCTCTGAGAATGTCTTGATTTCCTCTTCCATCCTAGGAGATACTTGTTCAGGGTATAAAGATGCTGGGTTGACAGTTCTTTTCTCTCAACACCATCGTGTTTTCCCCTCGGGTCCTGAAGTCCCCAGCCAATCAGTCTTCTCTCCTTTCAGAGCTTTCTTATGTCTGTTTTAATGTAATGTTCAGGGTTTTTAATTGTTCTTGACAGGGAGAATAGGGAAGTGGACATCCGTTCCGTCTTCCTGGAAGTGGAAGTCCAGGTTCACTTTTAGATATTGTCATAATGCAGTACTTTGCAGAGAGAAGTTCTTGATAAATATTGATTAGATGTATGAGGGTGCAGTAGAGGGAGAGTCAATGGGACAGTGACCTACCTTGATCCATGTATTTATTCTTTGTGCAGTCTGAGTTTGTAAATTGGTTTTCTAAGTTAGAAAGATTTGGGTCCTGGCTCTGCCACATCTCAATTGTGTTGCTTTTGGAGCTATTTAATTTCTGAGCCTCAGTTGCCTTATTGATAAAATGGTGTTAATAATACCTGTGTCATAGGATCATTGTAAAGACTAAGATAATTTCTGTAGAGGTTTTAATATAGTGCTTGGCACATGGTGAACTTATAATAATATTAGTTATTATTACATCAAGTTCCTTGTCAATTAAACTCATTGCATTTCTTCCAGGTCAGGCCTCCCTATATATAAGAATTATCCTTTCATATTTTGTCTTGTTGGTTTGGTGTGACAAAATCACTGAATCCTTTTTCTAGCTAACATATTTGATGAGCTCTCATCTTACCAGATCATGAATTAAAATATTTGACCAGGGCAGTGCTGAGAACACAGCTCTGTCTTTCTACTAAAATTATCCCTCCAGGTTCTTAAGACTTATTTGTTCAATGCTTCCTGGATTCCAAGTTTCTGTTGAGCTACAAATCCACCTTAACTGAAAATTCAGTCTACCTTTCTTTGTCTTGCCTCTAAGGACAAATAGGACCTTGTCACATATGTCGCTGAAATCATTATGCTTGTTTTATACTCTTCCTCGATCTGCTCTTAGAATTACCTATTAAATAAAATGGCCTTATTTAATCAAAACCAATACCACATTCCTTAGTGAACATATGCTGTTTCTAGTATGATTCTTTTCCAAGGATTTATAAACCGAGTGGGATACAAAGTTGTTGAACCCAGGTGGAAACTGTTGGGCCGGCAGCACACCTGGAGTTCAGCGCCCAACCTTTTACAGATGAAAAACTCACCAGAGCACTGAGTGCCAGCGTCATACGGTACTATTTTCAAGAACTTGAGCTCTGGACACTATTTTAGAATATTATGGAACACTCATGACACCTAGTGGTCAGCTGCTCGTACATGAACTGTACATCAGTATCAGAATGGCATTAAAATTTTTAAATAAATACCCTCTGAAAGCTCTTTTTTAACCTATGCTTTCTAGTAAAAAAAAATTTTGATTCTGAAATCCTTGAATGGAATGTGTTGCAGTTTTAGGGAAGACCAGCAGAGGGCGCCAAGGGTTCATTCATTTACCTTGCCATTTGTGGTTTTTTTCCCCCTGAGAATGGTCAACCATCAAAATTTTGGGCTATCATTTGGGCAATGACTTTTATCTGAGTTGTTTACTGCTGTATACCCAGTGCCCAGCACAATGCTTGACATATAGTAGGCTCTTGATAAATATTTGTTGAATTCAGTTATATTATTATTATAATTTCTATATTACTTTTCCTTGAGGATTTAAAAATTCAACAGCAATAAGGATAATGACTGAGCCATCTTAATATCCAAGGCAGTGGGTTAATTTGAAGCACTGGCTCAATATTTTACATTCTGAATTTGGTATTTTTAAAATTCTGATATTTGCGAAATCATTTAGTCATTAATGACCAGCTTTGTTCTTCTCATCTTTGGTTAGTTAATAGTTGTCTGGTCTCCTGGCCACATATCACAGTGTTTTCTTTCCTCCGAATTCTCTGTTAAATTTCTTATGCTTCTAAATGAAACTATAATGAGTGTCAGAGACATATATCAGTAAAGAGATTTGCCACATTGGGGCACGTTTCATCAGAACCACGGAGTGTTCTCCCCCACCCATGTGAAGCGTCATTATTCTTCCTGGAACTTGGAGTTGTTTTGTAGGGCAGTCTAAGGGTGCGAACACCATGGGGAGGACAGAGCAATTGGTTTCATTTCAACACTTGAAGATTTAAGACCAATTTGTTCCAACTTAATTGTAGACGAGCATCCTAAATTTTGATTTAGTTCATGTTTAAAAAAAAGTTTTTAAAGATGTAATTGGCTGTGTAAAAAGGCAAGAGAATGTTCTTTGTGTGGCTTATGGCAGTTTGGTGAAAAGCCAGTTTCAATATTCTCTGGAGTGCTGTGAACCTCCAGAGATTTAAAATGGCGTAGTGGGAGCATTGTGGGGAAAAAAGCGTTTTAATATTTACAATTGCCCGCAAAATCTATTGTGCTTGAAACATACTACCATCTGAGAGTAATGAGAACTCCCTCATTATTTCACAGCCTCCAAATTACACAGGTGAACATCCCTGCATTTTAACCTCATATCAGTGCAACAGAGTGTTTGATGAATCTTTATTCGGACACTCTGATTTCTTTTTTCATAGTGCAAATTATGGAGTATTTATTTAAATAGTCTAATATCCTTGCTAATCTTTCCCTTATATAAATTTTCTGTGTGCTAAAATAATAATGGTTTTGGTCTATGGCTTATTGTTTTAAACCCAAGTCTTTATGAAAAAGTAAAAATGTCAAAACAACAATAGTAAACTTGAACCAGAACTTGGAATTTTTCTAAAAATTCAAAAATATTGCTTCTTTCCTTGAATAATCCTGTTTTGTACTGAACGTTTTTATTTGTCGTTAGTGCACTGCATTGGAACAAAAACTGAAAAAGTTGACTGAAGATTTGAGTTGTCAGCGACAAAACGCAGAAAGTGCCAAGTGTTCTCTGGAACAGAAAGCCAAGGAGAAAGAAAAGGCGTTTCAGGAGGTAAGGCGAATGGATTCAGGAGGCGTTTGTGCGCAAGGCTTTGTGGGCACGTCACGGTGACATCGTTTGGGATGCTCTCTGTTTGAGGAGAGGTGCTCAGTGTGGAAGGCAAAGGTCGATGCATTTTTCGTCAAACTTTTCCATCTTTCAGTTTTTAATTGGAGATAGTACTTAATAGTCAGAATGTTCTTTTTTATTCCTATTTTCTGATTTGTTTGGGATTTGGTACCAAGTAGGAAAGGATCATATTTCTTCTTTCAAACGCTCTGTCGTGAAGGTATTTATATTACATTCTCTGGCTGTTTTCGGAGCCTGTAGGTGGGCATGGACATCAGAGCTGTAGTTGACGTGATGGGGAAAGATGTTGGCAGACAAGTCAGGGCCGAGGATGCCCTTCCGGAGGTACAGCTGCCAGTGTCTGGCGAGTGAGTCTGAAAGTGTCGTAGGGACTGAGGGGCCACGGTCTTCCAGTGAGACCGACTTCCAGTAAGATGTCGATCGGTGTCCTTATGCAGTTATTAGAGTTAATCGGTGGCACGGCACATAAGTTTTTCTCATTCTCAATTTTAAGTGGTATGTGTGGCATTTGAAATTTTAAGCCCCGTTTTTGAGTATGTCTGATTTCTCAGCTGGATCGTGACAGTCACAGCTCAGCTCTCCTCTTTTGCCCCCGGATACTTCAAAATAGAAAAGATCGATAGAAGAATGGGGATGAGGGAAGCAGGCTAGCGTCCACCTGGCCAACTGGTGGACCTCCTCGCTGGCCCTTGGAGCCCTGGATTCGATTACTGGGACCAGTGCTGAGGCTGGCGATGCTCCTCATTAAGTGGGGGGCCTGTTTGGCCCCCTGTCATCTCCTGCGCCATCAGCCCAGCGTGTCCTGTGGGATGTTCGCATCTCACCTGGAATCTGCCCGTTAACCATCGTCCGTCTGACGCGTGTCTTTGCTTTTCAGGAGCTGTCCCGTCAACAGCGCTCCTTCCAGGCGCTGGACCAAGAGTACACACAGATGAAAGCCAAGCTCACGCAGGAGTTACAGCAAGCCAAGAACACGCACAACGTCCTGCAGGCTGAGCTGGATAAAGTAGGGCTCTAACGCCTTCTCTCTCCTAACTAATCCCCCGTCTTCCGTATACGTGTTACTTCTATACCACAGCTGATAGGATGCTTTTACGGAGAAAATGCTCTATCTTCACTTTCCTTTCTTGTCAAAGAAGAAAGCAAACTGAACCTTTCTGGGTTTGGGTTCTCATTCAGAGAAAGGAGGATGAGTTAGGTTCTCAGATCTGAAGGTCTATGTCGGTCTCTGATATTCTGGTGGTTCTTGGTCACGTCACTGGGTGGAAGTTTATACCCCTAAATTGTCAAAGCATAGAAAATTATAATCAATTTACTTAACACTCCAAAAATGATCTTATCTAGTTTTATGGCTTTACATACCAACTATGTGATAATGACTCCCATATTTGTACCTCTAGCCCGGGCTCCTGTTCTGAACTTGAGACTTCAAGTATGTGTACCTGGTATTTCCACTCACATGTCTAACAGGCATCTCACACTTCGCATGTTAACAACGGAACCCCAGCTGTTTTTTTCAGACTCGCTCCTCCCTTAGTCTTTCTCCTCTCAGTAAAGAAGACTTCTGTTCTTCACATCGCCCAGGCCAAAACTCTGCCAACTCGACTTTTGTTTACACACACGCGCATGTGCGTCTATTTGTGTATATGATATTTGCACGTGCATATTTATGTGCATGTGTGTATGTGTGTTTGCGCATTATGTGTATAGTGTATGCAAACTTGTTTGTGTTAAAACACAACATCTATATAGAATAAATGTTCAACAACGAATTATCAGCATGCTCTTAATTATTATCTGTGTCAAAAGATAGAAATGTTGGCGGCCACCGTGGAAACCCTTCACGGGCTACGTGCCTCCCTGCTGAGAGTAAACCTACCTGGCTTTTACGTCCGTCTGTATTTTATATTCAATACAACTTCTTTCACCATCTCCAGTGCCGTGTCCGGTCTAAGACATCGCCGTCCTACCCGGGTTGCTGTGCCAGCCTCGCCACTGGCCTCCCTGGTCTGCACCTTCTTCCTCAGTCTTTGAACCAGCAGCCAGGGCTGAGTCTTGTGGCGTGTACGTCCGATCACGTCACTCAGTCCTCTGCTCAAAACGCGGCAGTCACTCCCCGTCTCTCTCGGAGCAAGAGTCTCAGCCAAAATAGATGGCATCGGTTCTTCTAGCTCATGATTTTTCTTATTAACAAAGAATCAGTGATTATGTAAAAAGAACAGAAAACTGAAGCTCGGCCTTATTTTCTCTTCTTAGGTCACATCAGTGAAGTACCAGCTAGAAAAAAAATGGGAAGAGTTTAAGCAAAAGTTCTGCAGAACCGAACAGGCGCTGCAAGCGAGTCAGACCAAGGAGGAGGAGCTGAGGAGAAGTAGTGAGGTGAGGAGCAGAGTTGAGTAATTATCAGCGTCTCTTCAGGATGAAGTAGGAGGGCGGAAGAATCTCAGCAGTGTTTTCAGTAGCTTATCACGATCGTACGTAACTTTCTCTCTTACCTGCCAGAAGAATGGCAAAGTATTTTTATAAAACCTGCGGCATAGGACATGGTCTTTTCTTTTTTCGCTTTCTATTCTGATATAATCACTAACATCCATGTAGCAATTACAGGAAAACACGACCTGTGTTAAGAACACATACTACTCTTTTAGAAAAAGATTGTTTTAGACCCTCTGGGAAGTGGAAGAATGGAAGAAAGCAAGGAATTTTCTAAAATGGGAAGAAACGAAATCGGTGATGGGAGGTATAATTTAAGTCCCTTTTCCGAGGGTTGGCTTTCGAGTCATCCGATATTAAAAACTTTGTGGCAAGTTGTACATTTAAATGAACAGAAGTAATGACAGATGAAGAGTTTCTAAATTTCAAATCCTTATAAAAACACCAAGTATTTGTAAATCATATTATTCTGGCTTCAGAAGTCAGCACTAGCCTTAGCGGTGAGCATCTGCGAATATGGTCGACAGTGTCTTTGTAGTTCGTGTTTTTTATACAGGACGGTGGCTGATGCGTCCCCAGTTGTGTGCGTACAAGGAGTAGCCTGATCTTGCTTCTACTGATGGGATTTTCATACTTAAATTTAGCTTCTCTCTGAATTTATTTAGTGTCCTGGAGTTTATTTTAAAAGGGCTTAATTAAGAACCATTTAGGGATGCTTAATAGACTGAAACAATTTGAATAGAACCATAAATCAGCGTTGTAATTTTATGAAGAAGCACGGCAGAGTAGTAGTCTCTTCTCTATCAAATGTCCCAGGAAAAGAAAATTTTCCACTTATTATAAAAATATTTTGCAGTCACTTTTTATATCGTAAAGATTCTTTTTAACAAAAAATTCTCTGTGAAGAACAGTTATTTATGCAGGTAAGGAAAGTCTAAATGTATTTACTACCTTGGCTTTGAAGAACATAGCGTGATTGTAAAATCAGAACATCTGTCAGCAAACAAACAAGTGAGTGACTGTTAACGCAGCTGGCCCCAGAGGAGTGATGTTCCTGGGGACAGGAGGCCACTGCTCCAGCAACCCGAGTGGAAGAAAACTTCCTATCAGATTATGGTTTCATCAACGAACAGTTTTCAAATGGAAGTGTTTTGTTTCAGCAAAACAAATGTTTGCCTTTTGGCCAGTGGAGACCAACCAACAGATGCTTCTGCTAACATTTCCACAGGCAGACTGGCACCGAACTCTTCCCTCTGTGAGCTTCCCTTTCAGCCAGGAACTCTCCCGCAAATCCACTGGCGGCCTGGTGGAAGCATTTTGTAGAAGCAATCATCTGGTTAAGAGGGTTCAAACACTTTTAAAACTGCCTGCCTGGCCAGGGCGCAGTAGCGGGCTGAACGTCTTGCAGGTGTTGCTGAAGACTTGGGCGTCCCTTGCATGGTCTGGGTCGGCCGCCGTGGAGCTGTCCATGGTGGACGTGCGCCTGTTCTAAGTTAAATGCCTACCACGCTGCGCTTATAGTCCATCGATTTCTGTGTCCAGTGAGGGCAGTCGTGTGGAAGCGCCTAGCACAGGGCCAGGGAATTCACTGAGTGTCTTTTTTTACTTTGTGAGTATGTGTCTGCTTTTGAGGCTGATGTCAAGGATTCAGTGTGTTTAGCTAGCTGCCTTTTGCGTTTTGAATTGGGATTGGCATCAGAAAAGTGATCGACCCCGTCAGTGCGGTGATATAACTTAACGATACAACGTTGGTGGCTTCAGAGGGAGCGAGATCTGAAGTTGCCGCCTGTGTGCTGTGTGACCTTGGGACAATGACTTATCCTTTCTGAGTCTGACTTTCCTCACCTGCATATAGTAGAGACTAATAATATCCCTCCCTTTTCAAAGCTATATTAATGATTAAATATTGCATGTAAAGTGCTTAGGCCACTGCCTGGCACATAAGGGCTGAATAAATTATTACGGTCCTCCTGCTCATTGCTTTGATCTTCACAACTGTTATGACCTGTTTGCTGTCACTCACAGGCAGACAGTGATGACCAGAGAACACAGCATTTGAGTTTTTTCACATTTAAAATTTTGCCTGTTCCATTCTTTCACTCTGGGTATCTTTCCTTATCTAATTATAAGTAAGGACAAACAAGCTTAGCACGCTGATAGATTTTGGATGCTGAAATAATGTGACAGTTGTACTGAATTTTCCTTGTTAGTGTTTAGCAAACTAATATGCCATGCACTATGAGAAACTATCAGTATTGGAAACATGATTTAATGGCCCAACCAAGGGTAAAGTTAACATTTAGCATCAAAGTGAATGGAGGTTTTTTAGATAAACTGCTCATCCAACATCCAGTGCCAGCCCCACAGTATTGAGGCTGGGCCATAATATACCACCATTTGACAGCCAAGATGAGGGAACACTTGCTTGGGGGCCTTCCTGAGCGTGGGGATCTGTGTTAATACCGAGTCCTCTAAGGAGCCTGTTCTGGCAGGCAAGAATGATGAGGTAGAGGGGGAAAAACACATCTTTGCATCCATCCGTTGTTCATAGTATAGACTTCTCCCCAGTACAGCCATATGAAGCCTCATTTGTGGGTGGGATCATGAAATACCACACAGGAACTGAAATTTGCTTGGTCTTGGCCCTGGGCGCTGATGCCTCCCTTGCTGCCCCGAAACCAAAGTCGATCTGAGTGGAAAAGCTCGCTCAGCTCTAATGCTGCCTTGTGGCTATAGGGATTTTTGTCACGTTTTTCCAGACTAGTGCCCAATTTTGCAAATCATATGAGGATGCAAAAGATGCCTAGGAGAATGTATCCTTGTATGCTTAACTCATTGTTGATAATGAGCTACCCAATCAAGTCTTAAGTGGCTATAGCCTCACAGAAAACTAATTGCTGGTGGATGGCAGCCTACAGCTCCATTTTCAGATGTTCATTTTCTAAATCCTGGCCTTTTAAAATTCTTGGGTTGGTCATAGCCGTAGCATTAGAAGCCTGCTGGGTCCCAGGATTGGAACATTTCTTCGTTAGAAACAAATATTTACGGAGCTAATGCCAGAATAGAGATAGACATTTTAATCTTTCCATTTAACTCACTGTTCATTTAAATGTCTTCATTTATGGACGGAGGTGGATGGAGACCAACAGACACACAAACATAAGTTTCCCCCTCTCCGGGGTGCACCCAGCTTTGCACCTGGTGTCTTCCCATATTTCTTGTCCCTCCTCCAGTTGTAGATGGCATTTGATTTTTTTTTTTTTTTTTTTTTTTTTTTTTTTTTTTTTTTTTTTTTTTTTTTTTTTTAGGGTAAGAAAAATATTTTACAAGTTGCAAAATGAGAATGCTAAGTCAACCCAGGTGGTCAAACTCCAGTTACTCTCTTCTGTTGAACTCATTTGGCTGACCTTAGCACCGATCACGCAGATCTGGCTGCTGTTTAATTTTGGGAAGGAATGCTAATAATGCCCCATTACCCTTGCTAAAGTGCTTTAAGGTATTTTTCCTTTCACATCTGTGATCTCATGCGATGGTGATTATCCTGAGCTTGAAGAGCAAACAAGCGACGACAGCGTTACAATGTCGACAGTTAATGGTACTAGTTTGCGTCAATAACATCGTTGCACCTTAATGACCCTTCTTTGCAGATTTTAGCACTGAGCGGTGTGAACAGAGCCTCTCAGTCCTGAGATCGGTCGGAGCGGCCCTTTAGTCGAGCTCATAGAAGGGAGAGGCAGGATCGGGACAAAGGAGACAGGAACATAACTACAACAGGCTCTGTCTTATTTTGATGATGAAATGAACATCTATACACGAACACAGCATCTGCCAGCAAGTTTTCAAGTGCTTTCTACTAGCCAGATTCTCTCTCTCCTTGTATTTGGCTTTGCTACCTCGGTGCCCATCTGCTGGTGGTAACCAGACTGGTAATTGAAGGCAGGCTTCCAGCACAACGATGCCAGCGCCATCTGTTTTCGAACGGTGCAGTAGGATTTTAGAGGATGGCTCTTAATTGTTTCTTTAAGATTCTAAAATTTCCCCTACTCTCAGAGGGGTATTTTTTAAGTGCGGTTTTTAAAAAGTTAGCCTTATGAATTTTTTCTTCCCTGAGATGCTGAGTTCTATCATTTTGTAATGGTATATGTCAATTCCCCGTAGTCCAGACGGTGGTATATGTATAAACTGAGGTACTTATAAAATCATTTAAAGTTGAAAAACAGGTTGAGGAAACAGAGAATTTGTAATATTTATTGTGTGAGTCTTACGTGGTTAATCATCAATAGTGTTTTTATTTGGCATACAAATATTGCTTGGTTTTAAGAGTCAGGAAAACATGCAGGTCTCCCTAGATAATGCAGTGGGGCTGCACAGGCGTCTCTGCTGCTTTACGTGCACTTCAATGCATGGCTCCTTCATTTAATCGGGTGCCCAAAGCTCAGATTCTCCCATCCAGAATGGATTCTTCCTTCCATGCTCCAGCCCTCCAATTGCCCATAGAGCACTCAGCTCTCTCAGTGGTTAGCCGCATCCTGATGTGTATTATGAGATCAGTATCACATCTTACCCCACTGCCGTACCCGTCCTGCGGACAGAAATTCTGTCTTATATTTACCTCTTTTATAATGCCCATTCCAGGGCATTATAATTCCAGCATCTTGCCCATTGTAGATTTTCTGGATAAACATTTATTGAAGGTAATTTTACTCATCGAGACATCCCCATAACAGTGAACCTTAAGGCGGTTTTGCAGTGAAAAGCAACAATTTGTCACGTGGGTTTTTTGGTTCCTTAGCACTCTAAGTATTTGCAAAGATGTATTTGATCATTCAGGTGTGATCAGAACTTGGAACTTGTGTCAGTAGGATTTTCTTTATGAGCTAACTCTTGGAACAAACTTAGGGACAACCGGAAAGTTCAAAGGAATATATTTCTTGAAAGAAAAGATTATCTTTAGATTTGGGGTTTTTGTTTTTTTAACTAGTATTCATAAAATTGTTTGGTTTAAGTAAGAATGTCTCATTTCATTAAGTATGCAAAGGGAAAGTGATTCCTGCCTTAGTGAGGCATACAAACGATCCCATTCGGGGCCCTTAATAAGGCAGAAGTCATAATTTTCTTGAGCGTCTGTTTTGATTATAACCAAGTAAATGTGTGCTTCAGGAAATGAAGAAGGAAAACGGCTTCCTTAAGAGTCAGTCTGAGCAAAGTGCCAGAGAAGTCTGCCACCTGCAGGAGGAACTGAAGAAGACCAAACAGTGTTTGAGTCAGAGCCAGAATTCTGTAGAAGAAATGAGGGGTAAGTAAACTTAGTGTTTTTTAGAGTTTTAGAGTTATTTCCATTAAGCTAATGTTTCCGTGAGGGAGGATGGATGGCATTAGAAACGTCTTTGAATTTTTTTTCCGTATGTTCTCCCAGAAAGATGTCTGTAATCGACATGGAGAAGGTTTTCCTTCTTCTACTTTTTAGTTTCCAGAGTGATATTTGGACATTTTTTTTTTTTTATTGGAACACACTGAGTCCCCAAATACCCAGTTTTCAGCACTTTGAAACCAGAAGGGTAAATATTTTTCACAATTTGCAAAAGTAAATTGTCAGTGCTCTCTCTCGCCCCAGAGTGCTATTCTTTGTATCTCAAGTGCGTTTTTTAGTTATATCCAGACCGCTCATCTCCTCACTCATTCCCGTTTCTCTTCTAAAGGAAGTCCCCAGGTTGAATGCATGTTGTCCCATCCCTTAATGACCATTATCTTTTGATGCCTTACTTGACGAAATGATTTTATTCCGTACTTTAATGCCACAGAATTATGTTATACACACCAAATCAAATACACCATTAGTTTCACGTTCGTTCGCGTGTACCAGATGTCTTTCACTTACATTGATTTTCTTACCTGGGGTATTTGCACATCTAGGATTTCTTTTTACCTGACCTGTGGATTGTGTGTCACACTTGTCTGGGACTATTTTTGAATTCCAATCTTCCCCCAGACAGCTTTCAGTTTTCCCATAGCAGTAGGTAGGAATGTCAATCTTTCTTGAAAGAAAACCGTAGGAAAAGGGAAGCTTTGAGCGTTTTTCAGTGCTGGTCACGAGTATCATTGTTTCAGGTCCTCCTCATACACAGAGGCGATTGATAGTCCTTGTGGCCCCCTGAGAGCCCTCACTCAGTGAGTAGACTGAGGTTAACGGGGCAAACATAGGAGCTGTTTTCCACTTACTGTAACACCTGCATTTAGAATACATGCTACTTTTATCATCTGCTGTTGGGGTTCTCAACTTTTATTCTCCCTCAACACGTGAGGAATACGAAGCTTTCCCATCACTGTTGAATGAAAGCGTTGAGATTATTTTCAACTAGGTGAGACCAGTGGATAGAGGTGAGTTATTGGGCAGAAAACAAGGTGATAATGGAGTTTGAAAAAGCTTCCAGATGCTTCTCACATTCAGTGACACCACCCTTACTGTAAGGGACAGGAATGAGGGTGATATTGTTCCTTAGTTATACTCTTGTGCAGGCTCTTTTACTCTTTCGTACTTACGCCTAATCCTATGGGTTTTTGACTAAAATGGTGGAGTAGTTACTTACTTTTCTGGAAAATCAGAATCATTCCACAGTGAAGAGGGGTATTTCCATTTCATGGCTGCTTTTGTCACAGTTTTCTCTCTTTGAATAAGTATTTGAAAAGAGATAAAAAAAAGACAGGCATGCCTCAGAGAGATTGTGTTCAGTTCCAGACCACCACAATAAAGTGAGTCGTAAGCTTTCTGCTGGCGGAGGGGCTTGCCTTCAATTTAAAAAATAAAATGCAGCACCTGTGAAGCGCAATAAAGCGAAGCACGATAAACGAGGTGTGCCTGCACCCACATACATAAACACATACCAGGAAAAAGAGGAAAAGAAAGTTTCAGGTGCTTAGGAAAACAATCTCTTGGTAGTTTATACAACACTTTATTAAGCTGCTTAGAAAGAAGATGAATACATGTAATACCATCTTTAAAAAGACCATTATTTCTCATGTCTTTATGTAAATTGAGGTAATTGCCAGGTGGTCTACTTTGCAGGAGGTACGCAAGCATTAATGTCAATTTTTACAGGGCTTCTGAAGCCGTTAGTTTCTTTGGATTTTTTTTTTTTTTTTAGTTTAGAATTATAGAATAAATATTTAAAACATTGACAGTGTTATTTTTTTTTTTTTCTTTAATAGCTAAGAATACCTCTCAGGAAACCATGTTAAGAGATCTTCAAGAAAAAATCAATCAGCAAGAGAATTCCTTGACTTTGGAGAAACTGAAGCTCGCCATAGCTGATCTGGAAAAGCAGCGTGATTGTTCTCAAGACCTTCTGAAGAAGAGGGAACATCACATCGAACAACTGAGCGAAAAGTTAAGCAAAACAGAGAGAGAGTCCAAAGCTTTATTGAGTGCTTTGGAGTTAAAAAAGAAAGAATATGAAGAATTGAAAGATGAGAAAACTCTGTTTTCTCATTGGAAAAGTGAAAACGAACAACTGTTAAAGCAGATGGAATCAGACAAGGAAAGCTTGCAGAGTAAAATTAATCACTTGGAAACTTGTCTTAAGACACAGCAAATTAAAAGTAACGAATACAACGAGAGAGTAAGAATACTGGAGATTGAAAGAGAAAACCTAAACGTCGAGATGAGAAACCTTCACAATGTGATCGACAGCAGGAACGTGGAGGTAGAGACACAGAAAAAAGCTTACATAGAACTGCAGCAGAAAGCCGAGTCCTCAGATCAGAAGCATAAGAAGGAAATAGAAAATATGAGTTTGAAAGTTTCTGAGCTTACTGGGCAAGTTGAAGATCTAGAACACAAACTCCAGTTGTTATCAAGTGAAATAACGGACAAAGACCAGCGTTACCAAGACTTGCACGCTGAATGTGAGAGACTCGGGGCTCTGCTAAAATCCAAGGATTCTTTGGTGACAAACGAAGCTCTTCACAGAAGTCTTTTGGGTTTTGAACAGCAGTCCGCAATAGATAACTCCTTTGCAAATATAACTGGAGAACAAGGAAGCATGCCTTCAGAAAGGGGCGGATGCCATGTAGAAGCAGACCGAAGTCCAAAAAATTCAGCCATCTTACAAAATAGAGTCGTTTCCCTTGAGTCTTCACTAGAATCTCAAAAGCAGATGAACTCCGATCTGCAAAAGCAGTGTGAAGAGTTGGTGCAAATCAGAGGAGAAATAGAGGAAAACCTCGTCAGAGCAGAACAGATGCATCAAAGTTTTGTGGCTGAAACAAGTCAACGCATTAGTAAGTTACAAGAAGACACTTCTGTTCATCAGAATGTCCTCACTGAAACTTTAGTTGCCCTGGAGAACAAGGAACGAGAGCTGCAACTTTTGAAGGAAAAATTAGAAACTGAGCAAGCAGAGATTCAGGAATTAAAAAAGAGCAACCATTTACTTCAAGAATCTCTGAAGGAGCTACAACTTTTGTCCGAAACGCTGAGCTTGGAGAAGAAGGAAACGAGTTCCATCCTTTCTCTGACTAAAAAGGAAAACGAAGAACTGACCCACGAGAACAGGACTCTCCAGGAAATTAACGCAACCTTAAATCAAGAGAAGATGGACTTAGCCCAAAAAAGTGAGAGTTTTTCACAGTGTGTCGTTGAAAGGGAGAAATGTATTGCAGAGTTATCTAATCAGTACAAGCAAGAAAGACTTGCTTTACTACAAAGATGTGAAGAGACAGGAAATGCATTCGAGGATCTTAGTGAAAAATATAAAATAGTGCAAGAAAAGAGCTCTAAGTTAGAATGCTTGCTAAGCGAGTGCACCAGTGTTTGTGAAAATAGAAAAAATGAATTGGAACAGCTAAAGGAAACATTTGCAAGGGAACACCAAGCACTTGTAACAAAACTAGCTTTTGCTGAAGAAAGAAACCAGACTCTAAAACAAGAGTTAGGGGCTGTGCAGCAGGACCTGAGATCTGAGATTGCAGACATTCTGAACAATTCCAAGAGGGAAGCTGATGGTTTAAAGCAAGAAATTGTGACTTTAAAGGAAGAACACAGCAAGATGCAAAAGGAAGTTAATGCTTTATTACAAGAGAATGAACACCTGATGAAGTTAATGGAGATGAAACGTGAGCATCAAAATCTAGAATCGGAGCCAGCTAGTGACTCTGTGAAAGCAAGAGAGAGTGCGATAAGTAAATGTCACGTTCAACTTCCGATGGATCTTGAAGTTAAAGATACTTCTCTAGACAGTTATAATGCCCAACTGGAACAATTAGAAGCTAAGACAAGAAGTTTGGAATTAAAACTGCAGGAAAGCGAGGAGGAGAAGGAGTGCCTGCAGCACGAGTTAGAGACAATTAGAAGACAATTAGAAACTGGGACTTTCCAGCGAGATGCTCAGTCACAAGAAATGAGTGGCCTTAAAGACTGTGAAAAAGATACCGAGGAAAAGTATATTTCAGTGCTTCACGAGTTGTCAACAAGTCAGAGTGACAACACGCAGTTACAGTGCGCTCTACAAACAGCAATGAACAAGCTGAATGAGCTGGAGAAAATGTGTGAAATGCTGCAGGTCGAAAAGTTCGAACTAGTGTCTGAGCTGAATGAGTCAAGGTCAGAATGTATCACAGCAACTAGTAAAATGGCAGAAGACGTAGAGAAACTGGTCCATGAAGTTAAATTATTAAATGATGAAAACGGTCTTTGCCAAGATGAGTTAGTGAAAGAAATGCCAGAAGATAAGCCCGGTGAACAACAAAATGAAGAGAAGTCTTTGCCCTTAAATCCTTTGGATGACAGTAATTTCCATGAGCACTTGACATTGTCGAACAAAGAAGTTCAAATGCACTTTGCTGAGTTACAGGAGAAGTTCTCATCTTTACAAAGCGAACACAAAATTTTGTACGATCAGCATAGTCACATGAGCTCTAAAATGTCAGAGCTACGGTCCTACGTTGACACGTTAAAGGCTGAAAATTCCGTCTTGTCAGTGAGTCTCAGAAACTCTCAAGGTGACTTGGTAAAGGAAGGGCTGCTGGAACCCGGGGAGGGGCACTCGCTGTCACTGTCATTCTCTCGTGTGGCAGATAGCCTTAGTTTTACGAGTTTGGGAGAATCATCCTTTTACAAAGATCTTTTAGAACAGGCGGGAGAAATATCTTTTTTGAATAATTTAGAAGGGAGTGTTTCCTCAAACCAGTCTACCATAGAGGAGGTATCTTACAGCAGTCTGGAGGAGGAGGATCTGACCAAGAAAGCAATCCCATCATCCCCAAAGAACAGCGCCGAAGAACTTGAGACCCTCCGTCAGCTGTACGTGCAGTCCCTCAAGAAGCTGGAAGAGAAAATGGAAAGCCAAGAGATTATGAAAAATAAGGAAATTAAAGAGCTTGAACAGTTATTAAGCTCTGAAAGGAAAGAGTTCGACTGCCTTAGGAAGCAGCATTTGTCAGAAAATGAACAGTGGCAACAGAAGCTGACAAGCGTGACTGTGGAGATGGAGTCCAAGTTGGCGGCGGAAAAGAAACAGACGGAACACCTGTCACTGGAGCTCGAAGTAGCACGGCTCCAGCTACAAGGTCTGGACCTGAGCACTCGGTCTTTGCTTGGCACCGACATAGAAGATGTAAGTACGTGGGTTTACATGCTATTTCTCCAATTACATGCCTAGTAGTTACTCAGTAAATGTTGAGTTGAAATCAACATTGAATCTAATTTAAAATATTTCTAGGATTCAAGGACATAAAAACAAAATATACCAAAGTTTTATTATTATTATTATTTTTAAGCAAACCCGAACTTTAGGAACATGAGTAAAACTTTTGGGGGGATACATTTTGACAGTGATTACATTTAAACTATTATATAGGAAATTACTAAAGATTTTTTTAAAGTCTCCTGGAGAAAATGGTAGAATCAGAATGTCATCTTTAGGATGTGTATGTTGTACATTTTCATTCTTTGAGTTAATAAAGTACACTTAAATTAGAGCTTATGAATGGTAATGTGACATGAATTTTCATCTCTCTTGCCCTTTTCAGACTGTTTTTAATGTAAGAGTTATAGTCATGAAACTAAATATAGAAGTTTATTACATATTACTGAAACATTTTCTAACAATTTGTTCTGATACAAATCTATTGGTCGTTTAAAAAGACATTTCTTTTGTTATTGACTATGAAATTGATTACTTTTAACTCTGTCCTTCTAGTCTACCAGCTAAACTAATAATACTGTACCATCGATGAGTCTCGCTTTATTCCCTCTGTCTGCCTGTGTGAGGTCAGAAGAGCAGGTGGTGAAGTGGCAGCATTTGTAGTCACAGCAGCCGATCCCCATTTTGCAGATGAGAGGAAGGTGACATCCAGACATGCGATGTATCTAAGAATATAGATAGTAAGTGCTGTCTCTGTGCTTACGTCCTTGGGCTGGCAGTCTGGTCATGAAACCTTCCTGCCGTCTCTTATGGAAGACTATCAGAAATGCTGAAGACGGAAGCCACACATTTTATGTGGAATTTGTTAGCCTCTTTTTTGATAATCACAGAGAAACTTTACATTTAGGCTACCTCGAATATTGCTGGCAAGGAAAAAGATGCAATTTAAATGGGTCCTAGTGTAGAGGATCGAATAGCTGAAGGGTTTAGCTTTGTAATGAATACCCGGCTCAGCGCCTTGCTCACAGAAAACTCTTCCCAAATGTTCGTTTGTGTTGAGTATTCGGAAGGAGAGAGGAGACTGCGGTGGGAAATGTCTTTGAAGAGATGTGTTTAGCAGAGGCAAGAGGCTGGTTTCCGTAAAGTAATGATTAAGCCTATTCTATTTTGATTCTTCTTGAAAAATAAAATGCATCTCGTTATGTATCACAACTGCAGGATGCTCAGGGAGGAAACGACAGCTGTGACAAAGAAGAATCAGAAGAATGGACTTCGGAAACGAGAGCGAGGACACCAAAGCAGGAGGTTCGTCAGATTTGTGAGAACGGTGTTCAGCAAGACCTCAGTCTGGAGCTGGAGAAGAGAGCCGAGACGGGTGCAGTCACACTCGCAGGAGAACGTTCTAGGGAGCAGTCCCCAGATGCCAGTCATGGGACCCCAGAGGAAGACGAAGCTCAGGGCTTTTCAGAATGCACTTCTGCATCGTCACGTTCTTGTCCTAATGCTTCGGTACCTGTGGATTTTCTGGAGAATCAGGTAGCCATTCAGAATCTCCAACTGCAGGTAAAAGAGACAACAAATGAGAATTTGAGATTACTTCACATCATAGAGGAACGTGACAAAAATGTTGAAATTTTGCTAAGTGAAATTAAAGAATTAGACTCAAAACTCAATCTACAGGAAGTACAACTAACTACCAAGACTGAAACATGCACGGAACTGGGGAAAATAGTTGAGGAATTTAAAAAAGAAAAATCAGATTTAATTGAAAAATTGGAATCCTTTTCTTACGATAACCCGAAAGTAGAAAGTTCGGAAGGCCTCAACTCCAGTTTAGAAATGAGCACAGGTAAATTGTCACATGAAGTCACTGAAGATAACGTATCCAAGACGGTTGACAAATGGAGAGAGAGATTTCTCGAGATGGCAAATGAGCTGAAGAGCATCAAGTCTGAGAAGAGCAGTGTGGAGCATCACGCCCACTCTGTGGAGGCTGACTTAGAGGTGGTGCAAACAGAGAAGCTCCGTTTAGAAAAAGACAATGAAAATAAGCAGCAAGTTATAACTTGTCTTGAGGAAGAACTCTCTGTGGCCACATGTGAGAAAAACCAGCTTCGTGGAGAATTAGATACTTTGTCAAAAGAATATAAAGAACTGGATCTGATGTCTGAAAAGATGAAGGAGAAAATCCAAGAGCTCGAATCTCATCGTGAGGAGTGTCAACGTCACATTGGCGTGGTGGAAGCTGAGGTGAAGGACAAAACACAGCTCCTGCAGACTTTGTCCTCTGACGTAAGCGAGCTGTTAAAAGATAAAACTCATCTCCAGGAGCAGATGCAGAGTTTGGAAAAGGACTCACAGGCACTGTCTTCGGTCAAAAGTGAGCTGGAAAGCCAAATCGGACAATTGCATGAAGAGAAAGAATCGCTTGTAAGGGAATCCGAAAGCCTGCAAACCAAATTACATGACTTGGAACACGAAAAGCTGACAGTCGCCAAGGCCTTGGAGGCTGCACTGACAGAAAAGGGCGAGGTCGCAGTGAGGCTGAGCTCCACACAAGAGGAGGTGCGTCATCTGAGGGACGGCATTGAGAAACTGAGGGTCCGTATCGAGGCCGATGAAAAGAAGCAGCTCCACGTCCTAGAGAAACTGAAAGACAGTGAGCGTAAGAGTGATTCACTTCAGGATAAAGTTGAGAATCTTGAAAGAGAATTGCAGATGTCAGAAGAAAATCAGGAGATGGTGATCCTGGATGCGGAGAATTCCAAAGCAGAGGTGGAGAGCCTAAAAACACAAGTAGAATTGATGACCGAACGCCTGAAAGCTTTAGAATTAGACCTTGTCACGATAAAGTCCGAAAAAGGAAATCTGATGAAACAACTCCTGGAGAAACAAGGCCAGTTGTCTGAATTAGACGTGTTACTCTCTTCATTTAAAAATCTGTTAGAAGAAAAAGAGCAAGAAAAAATACAGATGAAAGGGGAATCCGAAGCCGCAGAGGAGATGCTTCAAACAGAATTGAAAGAGCTAAATGAGGCAGTGGCAGCCTTGTGTGATGACCAAGAGGCTGGCAGGGACAAAGAACAGAGCCTGGGCTCCCCAGTGCAGGTGATGCATCAGCTGAGAAGTAGCATCACAAAGCTGAAGGTCCACCTAGAAGCTGATGGAAAGAAGCAGCTCCATGCCTTAGGAAAACTGAAAGAAAGTGAGCATCAAGCAGATGTGCTTAAGGATAGAGTTGAGAACCTTGAAAGAGAACTAGAGATATCAAGAAAAAACCAGGAGCGTGCGATTCTGGAGGCTGAGAATTCCAAAGCGGAAGTGGAGACCCTAAAAGCAAGAATAGAGGAGATGGCCCCAAATCTGAGAGAGCTGGAATCAGATCTTGTCAATATAAGGACAGAAAAAGAAAATCTGACAAAAGAATTACAAAAAGAGCAAGGACGAGTATCCGAATTAGAAATACTAAATTCTTCATTTGAAAATCGATTGCAAGAAAAAGAGCAAGAAAAAGTACAGATGAAAGAAGAATCTAAAATTGCAGTGGATAGGCTTCAAACACAATTAAAAGAGCTAAATGAGAAAGTGACAGCCTTGTGTGATGACCAAGAGACCTGGAAGGTCAGAGAACAGAATCTGAGTGGTCAAGTAGATCGTCTTGAACTTGAGAAGGCTCAGTTGCTACAAAGCCTTGACGAGACCAAAAGTAATTACATTATTTTGCAATCTTCTGTGAATGGCCTCATTCAAGAACTAGAAGATGAGAAACAAAAACTAGAGAAGAAGAATGGAGAAATCAGTGAACTAAAAAATCAAGTTCAAGACCAAGAGCAGCTCGTCTCGAAACTGTCCCAGGCGGAAGGAGAGCAGCAAGTTTGGGAAAAGCACAAAGGAGAGCTGGAGAATCTGACGGTGGAACTGGAACAGAAGATCCAGGGGCTGCAGTCCAAAAACGACACTTTGCAGGACACCTTAGAAGCACTGCAGAATTCTTACAAGGATCTGGAAAAGGAGCTCGAATTGACAGAAATGCAAAAAACATCCTTCGTTGAAAAAGTAAGTGCCACATGTTGTTGTGAGGGAGGGAAAGCACTGCGTGGGTTGTGTTTCCTTCTGGATGGTGTTTGCAGTGTTGGACCATCAGAATAGTAGTAGCCTCCCCGTGCCCAGGTGAGAACCACTGCTACTGAGAGTGTAACAGGTACTAGTTGGGAGCAGAAGGGATCCTTTGTCCCGCCCTGCCTTTTTTGCCTTTAGGAGAAAGAACTATGAAAGATAGTGATATAATTGTCACCAGCAACCGTCATGGCTCCCCAGGGTGTGTTCTAAGGATCTGGTGCTTTTAGCCCCCTCTTTTGTACCTTCTCTTTGTGCAGTCCCCTGTTTCGTTAGCTGATGATTAAAGGGAAGATCTGCCACCAAGAGACTCAATTATTAATGAAAAGTTAAGTTTTTGCCCTCTACGCTTATTTAATGATCCAGGAAAGTGATTCCTTCAAATTAAAATTGTACAGGACAGATTTTAAAAGGAAAAGGGAGTATCTAGAAAATGCAATCAATCATACTTCTATTCCAAGAATTTCAAGTTTTTGCATAGCTTGCAAGAGATGGCGGTTTATGGTTGAGATGATGAGAAAACTATTCCACGCTTCTTCAACTTCAAGGAGCAAATGCAGACAATGGAGTTTTAACTGGCTTTAACTAATCGTAGGCATGTTCCTTGTGAATTAGTATGGCATTGGAGGATTAGTAGAGATCTAAGAACCGATAAAAATCTAAGACGCTGCCTCATACAGTATTCTCTGATGTTTAAGTTTAATTCAAATTAATATTTTCATGAAGGATTTGAAGACAGTAATATTATCTTTCCTTGTCATTCCTTATTGCTGTCTTTTTGCTGTGAAGAAAAGGTAAGCTCACCAGTAGGTTTTGAGAATATTAGTAAAGGGAGGATTAGCTGGGTTTTATTTTAACTGAAGGCTAAAGTGATGTCATAACTGTGTTGTATCAGAGTGATTAATTTGATCAAAACACAACCAAAAGCAGATCCTAACAAAAGATTAAATTTCAGATAAATGCAATGACTTCAAAAGAAACCGAGCTGCAGAGGGAAATACACGACATGGTACAGAAAACGACGGAGTTGAAAGAAGAATTTAGTAGGGAGAAAAATAAGCTAACTGAAGAATTAAATTTAATGGTGGAAGAAATAAAGAGCAGCAAAGTAAGTTACTCTGGGACAGATTCATCACACTCTGGGACAAATGCAGTGTTTATACTCTTGTTTGTTTTTGCAAGACCTGTAATGTACCAAACTTTTTCTTAGCTTTTGAAAAAAATAACCACCCGTGCTTATGTCATAATCGGATTTGCAGTAATCTTTACCAGCCAGTACTGTCATGAACCCAGAAGGAGTCACAAGAGGGCTCTGAACACATGAACACACCTGTCACGGAGCCCAGATACTTTTTCGTAGAAGAGGACCCTGGTATTATATTAACTCTCATCCGCAATAGATTTCATGCAGTTTTCAGTAGGCAGCTCTCCTGGTCTGCCACAGGTTACGAGCCAGAGTGTTGCGAGAGACAGACGTACTGATCTTGCTAAGAACTAACAAAATCCCCGAAAGGAAGTCCCAGTAAAACTTAGAGCGGTTTGGGGTGCTATTCTTAGGGCAGGGTTCATGTGGCAGACCGATAGCATTTGAGCTGCCACTCACCACTGTTCCTACAGCCTCCCTCTCTCCTGCATCTCAACTCCGAGTCCCAGGTAGTAGCTACCGTGCATGCAGAGCTGGCAGGTACAATGAAACCTTTGCCAAACCCCGTTAAATGGTAAACATTCCTGTACCCATCTAGTCCTCTGGCAGCTTCATCCCTAAGTAATGCTTAGAAAAGGATGGCAAAGTATAGTTGTGATTCTGACCCGGAGTACTCTCTAAAAGTTGAAATGATATTTGTAATAGCCTTTATAAGAAGTTGGGGAAATTTGTACTTTTCTTTAAAAGTTTTGGCATTTAATCTCAGCAACTGACTAAAGGAATTTTCCAGCAATGCTTTGCAGGAGTTCCTATGGATGTATTGCATCTGCTGAAATCTTTGGTACTGAGCGGCTTGGGACTATCCCAAGTATGTTATTTATATTTCATTTATAGGTTTTACTAAAAAGAAAAGCTAGGTATTCAGCCTCAAGTTTATGCATACGAGTGTGTTAGTTTGCAATAGCCTTATTCATTCATACATTCATTCATTCTGCAAATAATAAGCACTACTGAGGTCGGGGATAGAATGTTGAACGTAGCTATCCTGTGGTTCTCGTACTCACGTGCTTATAGTCTAGACACACAATAAATCAGTACATAGAAAACAAAATAATAAACTGTTAAGTGCTATAAAGGAAACAAATAAGAATCTTTGCTGCGGAAGTGGGGTGTGGAGGAAGGCAATGACCTGATTTAGATAGGGCAGTCAGAATGCCACCTGCAGGATGAGGAGTCAGCCCTGCAGAGGACTGGGTAGGGGGCGAAGGCTTCTGGGTCTGAAGGCAGCATGGTAAAGCCATTGAGCTTGGAAAGACCTTTGGTTTTTGTTTGTTTTTTGTTTTGTTTTAAGAACTTGCAAGGAAGCCATTGTGGCTGGAATTAGATGGACAATGATATGAGAAGACATCGGAGAGGAAGAAAGGCCATGGTAAAGTGTCAGAATAAAATCTAACGCGATACAAATACATGAGGCTGGAGCCGAAAGATTTGAGGTGGATACATTCATTTGGCTCGCCCAGAATAGAGGTCATATTTAAAAATTAGGGGAGTGGTAGAAAATACAGAGAAGAGAAGGTGGCTCAGGGCCGAGCCCAGAGGTCCTGCAGTTTGCAGGGTGAGATGGAGGAGCACGAGCCAGCAGGGACGGTGAGAAGACATGAGGCAAACCAGGGGAGCATTGCGTCCTAGAAGCCAAGAGCGGGGGCCACCTCCAGACGGAAGGAGTGGTCAGCAGCCTCAGATCCTACTTAGAGGTCAGGTGAGATGAGGACTGAGGAGTGCTCCTCGGATTTGCAGCATAGGGGTTGGTGATGCCATGAAAAACGATTTCAGAAGGAGTTGGCAGAAATCAGGCTAGACTGGGCTGAATGCATGGGAAATGAGGAAGTGGACACAGCACGTATATAGATACAAGTGGAAACAGCCATTTGGGATCACGCATTGAGAAGGCAGATGGCTCCAGGCCTGGGCTTCTGCCCGTCCTGCACAGTGAAGGGAGAGCGGGGCAAAGAGTTGAGGGCCTTTGGAGAAAATCCTTAAAGAGGTACAACATGGAATCTAAGCTGGTCTAGGAAGAAAATGTTCTGTCTGGGGTTTTGAATGTGAAGGTCGTTCGTGGTGGTGGTGATGAGGTCCAGGAATGTTTGCACCGGAAATACTTAAACAAGGAGCCTGGTAGCCTAGGAGGGTGCGGCCCCAGAGTGATTTAGTTGAATGTGAGGTTTCAGAGATTCTGTGGTCCCAGCGGATGTGACTTTGGGGATGGCTAGGCTGGAGCAGAGGAAATTGTCACTGGAGATGACGTCGCAATTTAAAGTGAGTACATTGCTGAGGATTATAGCACTATTCCGTATAGATATTTGTCTTGCCTATAAACAATTTTTTCCCCCTCAGGACTCAGTATTTCCTAAAGAGATAGATCCAGGTTCATAATGATGTTCCCATGATTTTATTACTTTTCTCATTAGGGTCAACTAGAGCAGTTCATGCTAGAAAATAGTGAATTGAAAAAGAGCTTGGATTGCGTACACAAAGACCAGACGGAAAAGCAAGAGAAGATGAGAGAAGAAATAGCCGAATATCAGCTACAGCTTCAGGAAGCTGAAAAGAAGCACCAGGCTTTGCTTCTCGATACAAACAAACAGGTGAAACGTGTGGTTTGGTTCCTGGGGGAGCTGGGGAATGTGTGTTGATGGTGGTAACGAGGCAGTTTTTGCAAGAAGGTCAAAGTTCTGCATTATTATTATGCTGTATGATCTTAGAAAGGGTCCAGTCATATTAACCTCACTGTCTGTCCCCTAGTTACCCGCACCTATGTCATTTTATGACTTAATTTAAAAAATACATTTCCATCTTGAAGTAGAATAGTAGGAGAGTCTCAAAGACCATTTGAAATGGTCCTGGGAACAACTTTTATTTTTTGTTTGTATTCCTTACAATGTTTTTAGCTGAGCCTCCTGGCTAAAGGAATATTTTTCTACCCTAGCATGAAATGGAAATCCAGACATACCGAGAGAAATTGACTTCTAAGGAAGAATGCCTCAGCTCGCAGAAAGTGGAGTTGGACCTGCTAAAGTCCAGTAAAGAAGAACTCAATAATTCTTTGAAAGCAACCACTGAGCTTTTAGAAGAATTGAGGAAAACCAAGGTATGTTTACCTCTCATTACTTCATGGCCTAGAATGGCTTATTCCGAATAATAGTGGTTTTAATGGTATTGGCTTATGAGCTTCTATTTTAATTTTAATGAAAAAGTTTTTTGTAATCATAAATAGTATTCATCAATTCTCTGCTGAGTTATTTTTGAAAATCAGTGGATGGATGGCCTGCAGTCTCAGAGCTTGAATAAACTTTACTCATTGCTTAGTGAATCTTCTCACCCTGAAGGATGTTAAAGACCTCTCGAGATGGCCATGAAGGTCAAGCCAATAATGGATCAGGGCAGGCCCCTCAGCTGTAAATAATAATTGGGTGGATAATTCCAAAGTCTCACTTACCTGGTCTCCAGGTTCATTGCTGTCACCAGACCCACGTCCCTGTGGCTCACAGGGAGATCGAGGTGTGGCAGAGCACTTGGTCAGGACACACACATGCATGTTCCCATCTCTCCACACAAGGGTCACGAAACATTTTCCTTTAAGGAAAAGAAGGTGAACCCTAATCTCAGGGTTTTTGGACTGTGGATGGTGCTACAGCACTTGTACTTGGAAAGGGAGGCTGTTTTGATTCCTACGGATATTTTTCATAAAATGAATACCATCCACAATGTGTAATAATGAACCTGGAAAATAAATATCTTCCAATAAAAGTCTTTTCTTATAAGGTGAATTAAATTTTTAAAGCCATGATATTAATTGTATATTGAATATGTTCAAACAGGAAACTATAAGTATAACCTTATTCTATTTATAGCTCTTCTGCAATTATCAAGGTAAAGAAAATATACCCATAAAATACTAACTAATAAAATTCAAAATAACATTAATGATCAATTATGTTCTGCTACTACAAAATGAGAGATACTAAGTTTAATAGAAAGAAAGCTCTACTTTTTTATTTACTCATTTTCTGCCTTTTTAATCTTTGACAGTTCACTGGACAATGTCTATATATATATATGTATATATACACACACACACACATACATATACATATATACACAAATTTTATATACATATAAGATTTAAATTTATACATCTATTTATGCTATTTATGTATTTTTGTATATGTGTAAATACTATGTACAAAATGGTGAATTGTTGAATCTGTTTTCAGATTGCACGTAATTTTAATGAGGTGCCACTTGATAAGTGTTGTTGAAATGAATTAAATTTCTAATCCAATTATGGCTGGAAACAAATAGAAAATTTCAAAAGTGCAAATTTACTGCAATATTACTAATATATTATTTCAAGATGATATATATCAGAGAACAAATCACTGGCAACGTGAATATGATGCTCATGTTTTTTTTAAAAATCGTTTGGTTTGCCTTCATATGTTCACAATCTCTTACCAGAAGCCCTTAGAGCTAGATTGTTTTAGAATTATGCATTTTGAAAGATATTACATAATTCAGTGCATATGTCACATATTATATAATATCCCAGCAGGATCTGGGGTAATACTTCATACGAATTCATATTTCTATATCAAAATGTATGAATATTCTCACAAGGTGGGATAAAGACTGTAAATACTTTCACATACGTCCAGGTCAAGTTTTGCTTCTAAATCATTTGCCGAGCTTTTTCGATTTTATAATTGTGGTTAAGGAACCATGAGCTTGTTCTACTAGGAAGTACATGATGCCACAATTCTCCCAACATTGTATGTATTTTCTATTTCAATTACTTGTAAAATTAAAATTTGTATTATGAGCCATAATATCGTTTAGCTTTTACTTGGTGTGACTAAGATGAATGTCATCTTAGATAATGGAATTTTGCAACAGCAGAAGATTACAAATGTGAACATAATTGTCTCATAAGAATTTTTGACCCATCAAGAATATGTCTATGGATGAGAATATACAATGAGTTAAAGACAGTCTCTTCAATAAATGGTGTTGGGAGAACTGGACAAATACATGCGAAAAAATGAAACTAGACCATTTACTTACACCATATACAAAAATAAACTCAGCATGGATTAAAGACTTAAATATAAGACCCAAACCCATAAAATTCCTAGAAGAAAATAACGGGCAGCAAACTCTTTGACATCGCTCTTAGTCAAGTTTTTTGGGATATGTCCACTCTGGCAGGGGAAACGAAAGAAAAAATAAATGGGACTACATTAAACTAAAAAGTTTTACACAGCAAAGGAAACTATCAACAAAATGAAAAGACAACCTACCAAATGGGAGAAGATATTCTCCAATGATATATCTAATAAGGGTTTAATATCCAAAATTTATAAAGAACTTGTACAACTCAACACCAAAAACTGAACAATCTAATTAAAAATGGGCAGAGGACCTAAATAGGCATTTCTGCAAAGCGGACATACAGATGGCCAAGTGCCAGGTAGACACTAGACTTATGGGGTTTTTTTTCTTTTGAACATTGCAATTCAGGGTTTTAAATTTAAGGTTCTGTTTTATAGATGGACAATCTAAAACACGTAAATCAGCTGAAGAAGGAAAATGAGCGTGCCCAGGGGAAAATAAAGTTGTTGATTAAATCCTGTAAACAGCTGGAAGAAGAAAAGGAAATGCTGCAGAAAGAGCTCTCTCACCTTGAAGAAGCTGCACAAGAGAAACAGAAAACAGGTGGGTGTCACCTGGGCACATCAATGCGTCAAACCGTTTTCCACCAGTGAAATCCTGGTGTGTCTGCGCAGGAAGTGTTTTCATACTCTGTTCTGTTATGGCATGCTGATTTTCGGCAGCTATCCATTTTCTAGTTTCTGAATTTTGTGCTCAGCTTGAGGTCATTAATATGATTCAGAATGAAACGTACATTTTAAAATAGAACGATCACATTTTCTGTTCTGTAAAACATACAAGAAATTGGCAGCGCCGTTTGCTAACGAGCCGTTCTGAGAAGAGGTTTTCGTGTGGATGTCCCCATCCTTATAGTTCCTGTGTCAAAGACAGATTGGCGTCTCAGCTGTTATTAGTACTTTACAAACAGCTGATTCTGGTTTTCTTGGCGTGTTCTTGTGGGTCAACTAAATGGAAGCATTAGGGGGCTATATTTTGGAGTGTGAAGGTTAAATAAAAGAGAAAAGAAATGACAACTGTCCTTGTCACTTTTCTACACTTATGCCCCCAGAGTGGAATGCTCTTAACACGTGGAGAGATGATGCGAGCATTGCATGAGCGGCCCTCTGGACGTGGCCCCGTGGGTCGGGGTGGGGCAGTCAGTGGTATAGAGAACTCGGGGTCTACAGGGAGTTTTTCTAGTGGATTTAATGCCAGTCATGGCAACTGCAATTTGACCCACTTTACAGCGTCCCCCAAGCTTTTGTCCATCAGACCCTCCATTGCATCCGAATGGTTTTCAGAGCTTTTTCGGAGTTAACCTTGTCACTGGCCCCCATCTGTCTCCCAAAGCCATTAGATAGAGACTTCATATTCTTTGCCTACTTTTATTGTTCATTCACTTATGATGGAAATAATGGGCAGGGGAAAATAGGAGATGTGCTCAATTAATTCATTTGCTCTCATATGAATAACGATAAGAAAGTTTGATGGGTTGGTCGAAATACGAGTTTGAGACTCTGGCAGATTTTATTTAAGCTGTCCTAATAAGAAAGAGTTAGTTATGTAATTAAGTAGAACACGTACTTGATATGGTCCCTCCCAAACAAGAGTTGTTTGAACGATAAGAACATGTAGAGATATATCTCCCCAACTTTGCCAAACGAAGTCCAAGGACAAGTCTAAGGTTTTCTGCTTTACAATGCCCAGTGTCAACTAGAGAAGTGTCAAGTGACAGGCTGTGTCGCTTTGTTTTTGACAGGTACTGTTGTGGATGCCAGTGTAGATGAATTAATGACCGAGGTGAAAGAACTGAAAGAAACCCTTGAAGAAAAAAGCAAGGAGGCGGACGAATACTTGGATAAGTACTGTTCCCTGCTCATAAGCCATGAGAAGTTGGAGCGAGCCAAAGAGATGTTAGAAACACAAGTTGCTCGTCTGAGTTCACGACCATCCAAACTCAATCTCCAGAGTTCTCCTTCGCTAAATTCAGTTGTTCCGGGACCATCCCCAGTCCCTTCTGTTCCTGAGAAGAAGTTATCATCCGGCCAAAATAAAGGCTCAGGCAAAAGGCAGAGGTCCAGTGGGATTCGCGAGAACGGAGGAGGAACAGCGTCTTCTACACCGGAGACGTTTTCTAAAAAAAGCAAGAAAGTGGTCAAAAGTGGTATTCACCCTACAGAGGATGCAGAAGACACCGAGTTTGAGCCTGAGGGGCTTCCGGAAGTTGTAAAGAAAGGTACGCATCATTTAAAAACAGAATTAGTTGTGCTCTTTTGAAAGTCCACGTAAAAAATTCATACGCAGAAAGGTAGAACCATTTGGATTTGAAGTTATTGTGCAAGACCGAGCTGCAGAAGCAGCAGCCTCCTTTTAGATTGGTGAGGTATACTTCCTTCGTCATGAGAGAATGACTAGCATCTAATTACTCATGTCACACTACAAAAAGTGCTGGTAGATTTGAAAAATGACTGTCAAAAACCTGTTTAGAATTTGATATTTCTGTGCTGAAAAATCTCCAAATCTAGGTCACCCTTCAAGCTTTCCTGTCTTTGGTCGTGTCCCCCCACCCAGGAACTGGTTGAGCTGGAGGGTGGGCTCGATGATGCTGGCCCCTGGCTGGAGCCACTTACTACCTCCTTTTTAAAAACCTCAGTGGTCTTCCAAGTCTGGCCCGGGGACTGGGGCCAGTCTAGGAACCGTTGGTTCCTGGTTTATGACCAAAAAAAAAAAAGGTCCAGAAATCAAGAATGAGAGTTTAAAGTCTTCATAGCAATTCGACAATGTCAGAACATCCAAGCACATGATTATTTTTCTACTGATTCATTTTCATCGTGTTATACAATAGTATCATTCCATTCTATAGCAGGTTAGAAATTACTCCCAACACTCCCATCCCCCTCCCCCAAAATGGTCAAAACTGGTTCTTCGCCACCGATGGTTTAAGAAACACTGATCTGAGTAATTCTAGTTCTTAGGAAATCTAGCCCCCAAATAGTTAGCTCTTTCTCATTACTGTTTATTTGTAGTTAAAGGGTTAAAAACAAAACGTTAACACTGGTTTAGTTAGCTGTTAATAAAGCTGCTCTGAGGTGTGAGACTCTGTCTTGTGTCCTCGGGATTGACTTCCTTCTCTTGCTCATCACAAGCCATGTCAATTCCGTCTGTGGGAGGAGATGGTCACATCCCTCTCCCCTCTTGGTCTGCATGAGAGTCACCTGAGCTAGCTATTACCATCTTACATTTCCCCCATTTCAACAAGAGCTGGCCTTCCTTTTTTATTTTTCCTTTCCGCTTTACCCTCCTTTCCCAACCCCTTCCTCCCATCCCCCAATCCAAATTTTACAGGCGGGCCTGCTGGGGTTTTCTACAGATCTTAGAAAAATACGACTTAAGACATCCAAATAGAAGAAGCAGGGAACATTTTTTTCTTTTTAATGTTATTTTCCCTTTCTTCTCCCATTTGTGGTTTTTTTTTTTATATTTCTAATAAGAGGAAATCTGTTAGTTATTATTCAATTTGACAACTCCCAGGGGAACTGTGAAGTTAATTCCTGTCCACCGTGGCTAGAGAAAGCATTTTTGGGTTACACTTACCTGTTAAAACTTTGCCTAATGAGTATCATTTCCACTGTAGATAAAATTGGAACTAGCAGGGTTGACAGGCAGCTTTTTTGCCCTCAGGGTTTGCTGATATCCCAACGGGAAAGACGAGCCCATACGTCCTGCGAAGAACCACCATGGCAACTAGGACCAGCCCCCGCCTTGCTGCACAGAAGTTAGCACTGTCCCCACTAAGTCTCCATAAAGAAAATCACGCCGAGACCTCCAAACCAACAGCTGGTGGCAGCAGATCCCAAAAGGTAAGCTCCTGTGAACGCGTTATCCACATTTTGCAATCCAGGAAATGACAGCGTTATCTGGGGCTGGTGTTTGCTGCTGCGCCCTCTGACTCAGAAGCTTTTTAAAGTCTGTCCTTCTTCTCTGTGCAGTATAAATAAGTCAGTAGTGAGTGACTGAGGGTAAGCACGACATTATCCTGCTGCTCAGTCTCATCCTTGACCCAGCAGGCCACTTATAAAGAGTTCAATGGGAAATGGCATTGTTAGATCAGAACTCCAAGGACTTGGAAGAAAGTTTCAAGCATTACATCTGAAGAATTTGAAGAGGTAGTTTTTCCTTTGGCACCGGCATTGGTCATTATTGTGTTGTGCTTTTTCCTCACCCGTCTGCCCCACCATCTGTCAATTCTTCGTCTTTTATCACTCCTTTACTTTCTATAGAAAGCATATATTTCAGTGGACGTCTAATGCCAGGAGCTCTGTTTATGGGTTTTGCTATTTTGATTGCTGAGGGCAGGGCTTGGACCTTAGTGATCTCTATGTACCTTGTAAACAGCCCAGTAAGTTATTTACAGCAGAGATTTGCTAAACAAATCTTTGTTTCATTACTATAATCCACACCAGCAGCTGCCATTATGTATGCAAAGTGTATGCATTTTATGGAACTCTCACTCTTAAGTGTTATGAAAAGATGAAGAAAATAAGCCTCAAAGATTTAACCTGCCCAGAGTTAATGCCAGCTCTCTCTCAACACCATAGTCTTGCTTTTTTTTTTTTTTTTTTTTTTTTTCAGTGTTTTACAAACTAGGGATCACAGCAATATTGTTGGAAGTTGCTGGAATAGCTTCAAGAATTTTGAAACTTTTGTGATTTTTGCTTCCTTGTCATAGTTTGATTAAGTATGCAGTTTGATTTCTTGAACCAGCAAATGAAGCTTTGAAAGTGGAGTAACCCCTAGTTGTGTAAGGTAATAATTCTTAATTGAGCAGGCATCCTCCTCATTAGGATTTTGGATGTCAAAATACACTGACACTGGTGATTAGTTGCATCAAAACAAGAACATATTTGCAGATTTGTTTGTTATGTTGATGTACAAGAACTTTAAGAATTAAAGAATTTATACCTAGTATTAAGTTGGTTCATAACTTACAACAGAGGTGACAAAGAAGGGTCTGAAATTTTCTTTCACTCATTAAAATGGACTCTCATCCCTTACTTATATTAGAAATATTCTGCCATTTTGTGCAAACTGTTCCCCTCCCCCATCAATTAGCCTCACCCCTCCTTCTTTCCTTCTGTGTCTCTGTGTCTCTGTCTCTCTCTCTGTCTCTCTCTCTCTCTCTCTCTCTCTCTCTCTCACACACACACACACACACACACACACACACACACACACACACACACGCACATACTTTTCACACTGGGAATGACAGAACACTGAAGAGGGTATGCTGGAGTAGGTCCTGTGACCATAAAAACAGCATCTTTTCCATAAAGCAACTAACGAGCGCCCCTAAAGAGGGAAGCTTCTGAGCTTGACGGAAACAATTATCCACAAGTTAACCCCTGACCTGAGACCCAGGAGGAGTCAGGTTCAGGTTCTGGTGTGGGCCAGGCCTTCGCCTCAGGCAGGTGACTGGGAGCTGCTTCTTACTCCTCAGTACAGACTAATG